CCTCATTGGTACACTTTTTTGGTGTTAGGAACGCGGGTGAGTTGTAGCTGGATGCCGCAGGCTCGATCAGGCCTGCATGTAGGTATTCCGTCACAATTTCTGTAAATGGCCCTTGTTTGTCCGGTGCCTGGCGGAATGGTCTGGATGCTGGCGGTGTGGAATCGGCGGTGATCAGACTCACAGATTGTTTGGGGAAGCATCCGCGCCTCCCTGACCATTGATGAATTGCTGCTGCGTGGCTGGTAGTAGGTTTTGTAGGATGAGGCGTTCCTGTGGGCTCCCGTCAATGAATATGATGCCGTCCCCGATGTTCAGTGTTGGTTTGGCGTCGGGTTTGTAGTGCCCCTGATATCCGATGTAGAGGCGGTTTCCCTCCAACCCAATGGTGATGGGCATTTGGTCCAGCATGTCCCGACCCAGGATGATGGGGAATCCCGCATTAGGGAGGATCCATAATTTGGCCAGGTAGAGTTTGTTTCCAATACGGATTTTGGTGGTTGCTGCGCCTTTCAGGACCAGGTTTTCGGTTTGTCCCGCGGTGGAGACGGCAACCTGATCTGGAGATGCCTCCAGTTGTAATGCTTCAGCCCAGGCCTCGTTGATAAATGAGTGGGAGGCGCCGGTGTCAATCATGGCGTTGCAGGTTTGGCGCTGGATATGTACAGCCACAAGGATGGGAGCGGTCTTGGTCTGCAGAGCGTAGAGGACCGCCTCTACTGCGCTTGTTTGGCGTTTCCCGCCTTCTGGCCGCAGTCTTTGGCTGTGTGGCCCGTCAGATTGCATGTTACACATGCTGCCGTTTTGTCATCTGCCGTGGGTGCTGGTGCCGTGGGCGTGCCAGGTTTGTCCCGTTTCGGATAAGCGGGGTGCTTGGTGTGAAAAAATCTGGAACGGCATGCTGCGTTGTTGTGGCCTGCGACCTTATGCCAGTCGCAATAGTCCGTGGTGCCCCAGGTGGAACGTGGGGTTTTAGGCCGGCTGTCGCTGCTGCTGCGCGCTAGTAGCCCCCCCTGTTGGGCCAGATGGAGGGTGCGTTGCCAATGGCGTATGACATCCTCAAGAAGGGTACCCTCTAGCCCCAACAGCAAGTCGAACAAGTGCTCAAAGAGGCGTTGAAACCCCACACACCAAAACTACTCAACGAGGCTGTCGTACCCTACATAGTGACGGAGTTGGTCTGCATTTATTTTGTGATGTGGTATGGCAAGAAACAGCTCCAGGTTGGCTTGTAGACGACGGCCAAATCTGCGGTATGTTTCGTTTGTATTCACTTGCAGTTGGCGGAAACGTCTGAGGCGCTCAAAGCGCGGAGTTGGATGCTGTAGCATGATTTCGCGGACCATGTCGTCGAACGTGATGGCACCCGCCGCGTATACCTGGCGGGCCGTTTCTGCAACATCATAATGCGTGGTGGATTAAACACCGGATGCGTTTGTTTTCCCCGATGTTGTCGATGGTGAGGAGTTCCCTGAGCCGTAGAGCGTAGTCTTCAAAATCTTCCTCTTTCAGCTGCTTGGGGAGTTCCGGTGCCTGATGGTCATGGATGCACCTGCTGGTTGGCAGCGGCAGAAATGTGGCCGCCTTTGTTGGGCTGGTTGGTATGGGCGACGCTTGTGACAGTTGGTACATCATCAGCGTCACGGGTGAGACCTGGAAGCGATGCATGAGGTCGATGTGTGCCTGTCGTTTGGTTGTTGTGGGTCTTTTGGACAGGTATAGTTCAGCAAACTTCTGTAGCGTGTGGAGCGTGAGGAAGTCCCACTGGTTTGGTGCTGCGACAGGAATGGTCTGTCCCTGCCTGTCGATGTCCCCTGCTGGAAGGGTGGCATCAGAGTTGGTGATGATGGAATCATTGCCGGAGTTGTCGGTTGGTGGCTGCTCCGCTCGCAAACTGGCCTGATATTGAAGCACCAGCAGCTCAGCGGCAGCCCGTTTGGCAGCCCTGGAGTTCTCGGTGTCCCGGGGCATGGTATGGTTGGCGAAAACGGTGGCAGAAGAAGGTTCAATCGGTCAGCAGAAAGGATGGTTCGGACGAGCCCCCAGTAAGATCCTTTGGGAAATGGACGAGTCAGGATTACACGGAAGTACACGGATGTATTTCTCTTGACGGACGACAGACGAGTTCACAACACAGACGAGAAGGGTATACACAGCTTGAGTGGTCAGTACATAAGGTTCAGTCTTTGAGTGAGTGTTGTTGATTTGAGGTTCTTCCTTTTATACAGGGTCGATGCCTTTGTCCACTTCTCCCTGCTAGGCCATTTAACGGTGCTCCTTCCTGTGTCCTTGGTCGGGGGCCTTGGTCTCCGGAAGCGTGGTCATTTGGCTTGTTGTTCTCTTGGTGTTTTTGTCGGCGGGTGTTTTTCCATGGTCCGTTGTCCTCTTATCTCGCGTAGCATTGTCGATGGTTATTGGCGGCGCTTACTGTATTAACACGATGACTTCTGAGTAGGTGGAATCTCTTCACAAATATTTTCCTACAGTAATTTTCCCTGTACAAAGCCTTTCTTGCTTTGCCCCATAGGATTCTCTCTCCATCATGTTACATAGTATCTCTCAAACCCCAGCTGTAACATGGAGAATTTTTCTAGTCCATGAAATTTTGTTGTAGAGAATCCACCTGTAATACAGTACAATATATATATAGACCAGAAATAACCACGTCGGCATACATCCGAACAGAATTTTCCTTGGAAGTACTGTATAATGTAGGCTAGAAAAATCGGCATCACTATAATTCAAATCGAAGTCACTGCTTGGTACATACATCCATCACAGCACATTTATTGGTACTATAGTCCGCAAATATTTCGTTCACTTCTCCAGTACACAGTAGATGCATTCGTTCAGAAGGATAAAAGGACACTGTTTCCGGTAATATTTGAATGACTCAACAAACCCTGACAATCCGATACATATACCATGCCAACAGCTAGCGACATCTAACGGGACTTGAATTTCGTGCAAAGAAACAATGAGAACGTATCAATACGTGACAGCAGAGGCGGCCCTAGGGTTTGTGGGGCCTGGGGCAAGCATGTCAAATGCGGGGCCCCTTAAAAAATGCTCCCTGCCAATTCTAAAACAGCACCCCTTGTTACTTTTTGTTCTAAACATAGTTTCATGTCGACGTTTAGATTAATGTAAAAACTTTCGATATTTTTCCAGAAAACGTTCAATTTACAAAATATTAGAAAAAGTTAATGAACATGATATCGTAATTTTAAATTCAGAATTCTTTGTTTTGGCTGAATTGGTTTTACAATTCAAATTTTCAAAATTTTAAATAACCAATAACCAAAATGAACATTGCAAATAAAATTTATATAATAGCAATAATAATTACTGCAGAAAAGAAGTGCAGCTAATCAAAACTCAATGGTTATCATCTTTGTGAGACCAAATTAAGCTGATCAGCATTCATTTATTTTAACATTCTGCAGATTAAATACATTTTTTGCATGTGTTATTCTGGAAAATGTATCTGATGCATCAGTTATACTGCTGATAATCTTCAGGATGAACTTGAGAGGACTTTAAAAAATTGTCATGGCAGTTTTCAAGTTTCACAATGATGGCCTAATTTGTGTACAGGTTCATTGAGAAAATCATTTTCTGACCTTTATATAAATGTTGCTCATTAACACAGTACCAATGTTTAGAAATGCAGCTTATCTGTTTATAAAAACATCACAGATATTATTTTTCTCATTTTTTTGGAACAGCTGCTCTAAAATCTGCATGGCCTGCACTTTATAAAAGAAATGCATTTCTGCAGGATAATTTTACTGGCAAGGGACTTGGCTCTAGAGCCAAAAACGTCCCATTCAGGGGGATTTAAAAGGAATTGTTCTTGTGAGGTTTGCCAGGGATACACTAAAATTCAATTACAAAAGATAATTAAAATCAATAAAGTTCATGCTCTAGCAAGTTCCAGAAAAAATATTATTCTATCTGTAATAGAGAAAGCAGCATATTTACTTTGAAGTCATGATGAATGAATGTGAATTTCATTTTAATCTTGATCATCATATTTTTAGAAATATTGATTACAAATTGGACCATAATTGCATAAACTACATGGGAAAGTTTAACATTGAGGATTACCATTACAGTATTTAATGGTGATTCAAAATTCCATATGCATTGTTTCTGTTTGAATTCTTATTTGTAAGAACTCAACAAGACCTTGTTTAAATGCATTTATCTTCAACAGAAATTTCAGTGAAGATTGAAAAATGTATATAGACTATATATAGACTAGTTTTTTTAGAAGGGGGCCCCACTCCTTCCAGTTTTAAAAACGTGGAAAAAATTTTGAAGGGGACAGCCAATTTTCAGAGCCACTGAATGGCGGGGCCATCCTTGAGTGCGGGGCCCCCTCAAGCGCGGGGCCTGGGGCGGCCGCCCCTCTCGCCCCACCCTAGGGCCGCCACTGTGTACATGCGTCATGATGAAACCATGTGCAGCGGTTCTTGTATGTTAATCTTTACATGTCACGATACGAATGCATTTTCAAGATTGGACAGATTACATCTTTGATCACATACTGTATATTGCTCAGCACATGTGTACTTAGCGGTACAAAATAGCTTACCACATGTAGATTATTGTTATTCATTTCCGTATATCGATGCACACATTTTCGTCAAACTTCTATCGTGTGAAGCGGGGAATATACCAAGTACAGTCCAGTTAAAATACGTAACGTATATGATCGATGGATTTTTCACTTGAAAAAATTAATTGGTTATTTGCGATTTTTTTGGCCTCCAGAATACCACACACCGTGAATTTTCAACTTATCTGCCATGTAGCAATAGGTTAACATGAGATCCACTTCATAATTCAGGAGATGATGAAAAAAAAATTAATTGGTTATTTGCGATTTTTTTGGCCTCCAGAATACCACACACCGTGAATTTTCAACTTATCTGCCATGTAGCAATAGGTGAACATGAGATCCACTCCATAATTCAGGAGATGATGAACACAGCTCGGACTTGACGAAGAGGTTTTTATTGCACATGTAGTGTAATACTAGAACACTGAATATCATTGGACCACAACACCGCACAAGGGCTCAAGAAACCGAGGTTCGATGAAGTAACAACAACGAAGTTTTATACAGCTCGAGATCCCGTGCGTATGATGCCATCTTAAGCAAACCCACTTATTCAAAAAATTTGAGCAAATGTGCTTCACCCACACACACACACCGATTTCATTTCGTGTCATAAAAAATCAGTGAGCAAATAACCGGGAACACAGGCTTTTGATATGTGCGTCATCGCACTGAGAAAGATTCCTTGAGGTCCAAAGGACTAGGTTTGGTATGCCTAACATCACAGTCAGGCATACGTGCTGAACAAAAATATGCAACCAATATGACTAGACAAGGAAAACATGATGTGCTGCAAAAATTGCTAAAATCGCGTAAGGGAATTCCATGGGGGTCACGGAGGATTTTTGATCGGACCCTCGAAGGCGCAAAAATGAAGATCATTTGACTTTCTTTTCCTCCTCCAGTGTCTTCTCTGCTTCTTCGCGAAGCTGTTGCCTCCTTTCCTTCCTTCTGATTTGCCATGAGATTATCAATCGACAACACAGCAGAAAGAAAAACACCTGTCAGAGGAGAAAACACACTAGTAAATCCTTCGCAAGTCCACCTTACAAAAAAATCGAAACGTACCAAAAACGGGGCGAACTTCTCGAACTGATTGCTGACTGCGTAATGATTGTATCCCATCAGCAGAGTCAAGGTCAAAAGCACGCTGTTCGACACATCCTTGACGATTGCTGTGATCATCCATAAAATAACACATTATTCAATCATCAAACACAGTAAAAGAAAAATAACTCATACCGATCGGAATAATCGCCATAAGCAATCCGAAGACGGCTTCAAGTGTGCCGAAAACCCTGCGATACCATTTGGCCTTCAAGTCGAAGAAGCTTCCAAATGGAAAAACTTTTGTGTACTTGACGAACTCCCGCCTCTAAATTGCAGATGAAAAAACAAAACTCGTCAAGTTAAACCAATCTCACTGTTCTCCATGCTTTTTAATCCTGGCATACTCGAAGACGCGAAGAAAATAAAAAGGTAAAAAACAGCATTTGAAGGGGAAAACTTGCTTTTAAATGATGGTTCTTTCTCACGGTAAGTGCTTCTAAATTTATTTCCAATACTGTACAGAACTTCAACCAACTTCCAAAGCGTAACAAAAGAATTGACAATACATTATTTAGAGAAATGTTAACTTGGTTAAATGCTATGTTAGGCGAGTCAGGAATCCCGTCATGTTGTTTAATAAATGTAGCTATTCGGCTAAATTAGCCCGGTCTTGGATAACGTACTGTATATGATTTATGCCTATTATGGGATTTAGGAGATCAGTTTCGTTAAAGAGTGTAAGCTTTCCAAGTATCTATGCGTGAGTAATTAAAAAGTGCTGTTTTATCAACTTAAAAACCGGGCATTTCCAACAAGGAAAATCGTGAAGTTGATCTCCAATGGAATTCGGGCATTGAAAATTAGGGGATCTTGCGCAACCATACAGTATTTCGTAGCAGTCAGCTTCACTTAACATATAACTTACATTTTCGTGGTACATGTCCTTGCTCAGCATAGGTGAAATCTTCATGATGCCGACGTAAAGGAAAAATAAACCGAGTAAAACGGAAAGTGATCGCAGCACTAAATTTGAACTCATCTTCGCCGGATTCGTCGAACACAGTCACACTCCCAGCACTCACGCATACACTGTCACCTTCGGGAGAAAAAAAAAACCGGAGTTATCCGTTAGTTAGACTTAGATCCATTATGATGACTCCCAATACTATACAGTACAGTACTGTGTAACCAAACATTTCAGTCGCCAGAAAAACATAGATTTCTTCTTTCCGATGCAAGCGAATATGTTGCACGTTTAGATAAAAACCAAATTTCGCTTTCAAATCACGAAAAAAGGCCGACGGCGATCCCGAACGCACGTGTTCATATAATAAAACGGTTACTTTCATCAACTAAAAAAAGTTCAACATTATCATGGTACAGGACGATTCGCCACCCAGTAAATGAACCAAAAATCCAGAATACTCCGGAGAGTTCGTATCATTCGCAATGGTTACGCGCCACGGAGACAAGGGAAAATTCGTGACATTTTCGGGACTAAGACTTGTGAATATGAAGTCTGATAAATTGGAGACATTTTTCAGTACCCTCCGGGTGAGATTATTTCCTGTTGGGGTGAGTTGTGGAGTAATCGTGACATCCTCAGGAAATCATTTTACCTTTTGCACACTGGTTAGATTATTAGTGAATGAGTCACACCGGGGTTGTCCCAAAAAAGTCGAAATCCACATCCAGTTTCTTTCCATGGCGTGGAACACGAAATAAGGTATTCTTAAGATGAATGGATAATGAAGTTTTTCAAATTTCTTTCACCTTGTCCAAAGTTTTTTTCTGCAAACATATTGAACAGCTTTGTCCCAATAACTCGCCGAAATCTTCCCGTACTCAAAAAGCGCGTGAATCATCCCACTTTATACACACATCCCTCCGAATGATTTTCCCTTCCAGAAAAAAATATACACAAATTGAAGCTCGAACGATCATGAGAGAACGTAACGCAATTCACGGTAACCACTGATTCCAGACGGTTCGTCAGCTCGATTAAATATCTTCATACCGCACGTATACTGATTGAAGACGTTTCGGATTCCGCTTCTGGGTCCGTTATAGGTACCATCGCCATTTCCTCCTCGACGTATTCCCTGAGTCCTCGAAGTCCATTTTTAGTCAACTGAACAACCCTTGATTTTCGCACTTTGTGAAGTCCATTATTCAGGCCGAGGATCAGATCAGACATTGTCTGAGGCATCGGTCTGCCCGCGGTCTCGGGTAACCACAAATTCAGGACTCCCGCTGCTATTCCGAATACTCCATAAATCGTGAACTGAAGATCACGTCTCACCGTATCCTATGTAAAAAAAAACAAAAAAACAATAAGAAATTAAAAAACGCCGTTTCTTCGAATAATTTAAACTCAAAGTTCAGGCACAAAGAAATCGTGCCCGAACAACGGCGGAGAACATTTTGGAAAGGGTCAACGCATGAAGGTACCGTTCCAACTTCTGTTACAAATTCGCAACATACAACCAACAGCGTTGGTTACCTCAAAGCCAAACATATTTTATAACGCACTTCAGATGAGGTTGGCTTGCGACGGTTCGAAGTAAATATAGCTCCCAAGAGTTCTCACATTACAGTACATTGTTAACGTTGCTTTCATACAAGTTCCCGCAATTTGTATCTGTCCATCTCATAAAAATGCTTCTGTTTTAATGAACGAATGAAATCATGATCCAATATCTGGAAAGGTAAAGTTTCTTCCATGGGCAAAATTAATTTTTGTGAATTTTCCAGGAAAGCCAAAGAGAATTGATTCAATAAATGTCACTCTGAACCGGAAGAACTGAACATCATAAGAAAACGTTAATCATGATACATTAAATAAGTTGTCGGTTCGAAGCTCCACGTCGATTGAAATCAACCGAGGAAGTTAATACAGTACTGTACTATACAGCGCATATGCGGACTTCGGTTAGCTCAAATCTCAATCCATTGAGAAGACATCATCCCCCATACTTCTAATTAGATGCGTTTTTTTTTTGTTTACTTTTGTTCAATACAGTACGGTACTGTATTTGATTACACTGTGGGAAAAAAACCAGCCAATGCCAACAGCCCAGTTGATCCAATTTCCACGTTACTTCATCCGTTCAATATTCCCACATTTTATCATTTCCTAACCAATCCTCATTCCGGGATGACGAGTTGGCACTAAGGCAGGAAAGCTGGTCACCAAGACGCGGAGCAATATCTCTTACCCCTCAAACCAAGAGGAGCAAGTCACTTCTCCAGATAAACAGGATTTATTAATTTAACCGAAGTGTCCGCGTCGGTATTTTCAAGATGTTCAACAATGATGTGATGTCAATGACAGACCTATTCAATTTTCTCAACGACAACCATGCGGTCGAAAAACCTCCAACTTCATCGTCTTCGGATAACCAGAACTTCTCCGTGGGAGTGAAGATGACAACGAAAATTAAAACAATGAGAACCAAAAGTCGGTTGAACCCGTACTTGATGGACGATGTCGACGGGGATAGACAGCGCAAGACTCAAAGCACGCAGGCAAAATATCCGAGAATCCCTAAGCATACGCTGCAATTTCGCGTTGTGGGTAAGACAATACCGAAACATCTCATGACAGGTTTCTGACGGGAGATTTATCACGGAAGAAAGCAAGGCACCGAGCAATGTTCAACCGCCGAACGTTTCATCCCCTCCATCGCAAACCGAACCTCTGAAAGACTTGGATTTCATCAATGAACTCCTGGACCTCTGCGACAACGAGCTGATGGACAGTGTACCCGAACAATCTGGGAACGACATTTTTGAAAAGGCCTTGGCTCATTCCGGGATCTTCGATTCACGGGCCGAAGACTCCGTGTGGTCTTCGACTCCGGCGGTTCAACTCAGCGTTCCAAAGAATACTGAAACAGCGTCCGACAAACCCCGCGTTAACCAGTCGCACACCGCACCACAGGTGATCACAGTCATATTATATACAGTACCGAGGAACATTCTCATGCTAAGTGCTTCGAAAACTTCCGGAGGAAACCTGATCGGTACTTGAGTTGTGTGACACAACGTTCGTCAGGTTGTCATCGCTTTCTATGATCTCCCTCGTATGCTGTGCTCACCTCACGTGTGTCACACGCAAATCATGAGGGAAGCACCGGGTACGTAAATCACTCTGGTCAAGCGTCATAAGCAGGATACCATGCAAGGCTGAGTTCCTATCATGACACATTCTTTTTAAAATTGATGATCAGTGATACACTACTGCACTTGAAACTTTTGCACAGGCCAGCAGTTGAGCTACGCAAAATTCATGCAAAGGTGAAGTGACCTACAACTTTTCCTCTCTGTGCTGTATGACCGATGACATTTACCCAACAAATCAATTCACAGCAAACCTAACAGAAAGCTTCACCCATACGATTCGAATGCCTAAGATAGTCTAACTTCATCCTGTACACTGGCTGACACGACTTCATTTACTTCTTCGCCAAATATAATTCAACGCCTAGCCTATTCTAACATCAGAAATAATGACAGTTTAAAGATGGGTGAAAAAAAGGAGGAATCTCAAAACGGCAAATAGCACTAGGCAGGAACATGTCTCATGCCGTTTCACTGCTGGGTGAATTACGTCTTCGGTGCTTCTCTGTCCACGATTGAGGATATTCTTTTTTGAAGTTGGCTTTCTGGCATAAAGATGCTCTTAATCTCTCTTCTCGGGAATATTTCCAGGCGGAGAAAGTGACGAAGTGTTTCACAGTTCGTTCCAGAGGATTTTTTGAAAATAGGTTGAGATTTATTTTCCCTCCACTCTTCGGAATCACCGAGGAGTTTGTTCCAAGGATTACTACCAGGCATGCTTAAGCTTTCGCGAAAGGAAGGGGTGTTGAGAGTGAATTTTCTTCAGATAACGATCAACGGATCTCGGGGAAAGCCGAGAACCCGTGGAAGACCCCGAGGGTCTGGGAACCCTGACCGACGAGGTCGGGGCCGCGGGTTGCAGCGGGTGACCAGTTCTGATCAATTATTAGCTAGTCATCATCAAACAAAGCCCAGTTACAGCCACGGCTTCTCGCCAGCAGCAAACAATCGTATACAGGAGAAGACTGTCAAGGCCCCACGATCTCCGACCGGGCTTTCGGATGTGGAAGTTGACCTCTCGGAAGTTGAGGACGTCGGACTGATCGAGTATTTTGACCCAGACGTTCAGACCAGCACTGATGAGGAAACAGACATGGATAATTACGATTCTGACAATGATAACAGCAAGTGAGTGGGTCGGACAATCGCTAGAAGCCCGTAGATACCGTACGATAAGGAACGTCAGTGCGTTCATCTCGAAATCGCATCGCTCTTCGTAAACTTGAATTATACCCTACTTATCTGCAACTGTTCTAATTATTTTACTTAACCACAGACAGCACTTTTCTCCGGAACTACCGTATTCTAAAAAATTCTGGGGCGACCAGAGAGATTGCTCAACTCGACGTCTCAGATTTTTGCTGACTTCGATCTGAAAGATAGAACGAAATATAGCTTTAACAAATGGAATATTGTTCAGTTTGACGCCCGCTGATATATTTCGAAGCAGGAAAATTTTTCCAAATAAGAGGATGTGGGCAATTTCGCTGCTTGATAACCCCATGCCTTTACTTCTATTGAGTTTGCATATGTCCAGCGGCCTTTCGTATCAAAACACGGAATTTCTGATTCTTTCATTCGGAACCTGCTTGGCGTTCTTTCGGAATGCGATCTGCCGCAGAAGCTGCGACATAATAATTACTAAATGCAGTAATTAAATTACAGTTGAACCTCTTCAAGTCGGATTTCAAGGGATTAACAAACAAACCCAACTTGAAAAAACTACCACTTTTGCCTTTAAAAAATTACAGGAAGTTGAAATGAGTGATGTTTTTTGCCCACAACTGCATTGTTAAAAAGTCGAGAGGTTCCATAACTCAAAGTAAGGGTTCATTTGCCCAATTATTCTCTCACTTTAAAAAAAATCATAAATTTACATCGTTAATGCTCAAGTCCTTACTTTTATGGGTCACAAAATAAAAGCCAAAATGCCTCCAGAAAAGACGAGTTTTGGAGGTATGCGGGAAGAGCTTTGATTTTAATGCTTACAGTACATTGTTTCTTAGGGAATTCAGAAAAAAAAGTTCAAGAAAAGATATAAAAGGCATTGGTCTTAAAACATTACTTGACCGGTTGCCAAAGATTCAGAGGCTAAGAGTGTCAAGCCGTTATAGGGTATACAAGATTTTGTTCAAGTAAACTTGGGCTTTTGTAGTTCACGGCAAGGCAAAATTTAGAAGGGTGTTAATCAGAAGAAAATGCATAATATGATGCACTAAGAAGTAAAATTTGAACTTTCCATAGAAAGGTAATTGTAATATGTGAGCGATTTACTACAGTATAATCATGATCAGCGAAAAAAAAACACAGGCAGCACTTAAATTTAAAAGTAGCAACTTAGCAAGCATTACGAAAATCCGCCTTGAAATGGATTCAGCCCTGAAAATGCTGTAAGAAAAAGACCCAATTTCATGGACCTTCCTCAGACTAAATTTTCGAGAACAAAATGATGTGCTTTCAAACTACTGTATACAATTACAGGATCCTCGAAAGTCGTTTAATTGTTCCTGAAATTATCTTCACACTGTTGCTGTTCTTAATTTAATAGAATTGTGACAATGATGTGAAAACCATCCAACACCTTTGTTTTCATGGCCTAATTTAATTTTTTTAATGCGGATTTTGTTTTGGTGTGCAGATGAAGAAAGTTTCCATGGCAGACTGAGAAAAAACGCGTGATTTTTTTAAAGTTCAGTGAGATAAAGAGTAATTTGTGGGTGACTTGAGGGTCGAGATGATTTCGGATCACGTGACATAAGTCACCCTCATTTGGAGCTCCATCGTAAGACCGTGAGACGGGCCACACAGAACAAAACATAGGGTTCCTTCGAAGTACTGTGCTGTACAGTACAATAAATCTCACGCCAAAAACAGCCAAATCGTTTAGCTGCTTGACTTGAAACCCCCTTTTTGTCCTATTTCCCCCCACGTGAAATCCCCCATCGCATGTCTCGTATAGAAAGCAAGGCCGAGGCAGGCCCCCGATCCTCTACCCATACGATAACAAGTTGGACAGACCCGGGCCTTATCGAGTGACAGTGGAGAGCACGTCGTCGGAGAGAGAAGCGGAATGTTTCGGACCCGCCTGGCACTGCAGGGTGTATCGCCTGGAGCAAAACTGGCCCACACACTACAGCAGGAGTCTGGAGGACCGCAGACGCCGGATTGCCGCACTGAACAACCCGTTACCCGTGGATAAACGGGTGCCCGAGGACAGACTCATTGACCTCATGCGACTGACAGGCGAGATTTTACCAGATTTCCTGTACACTGTACAGTACAGTACCACGCGCCCCCTTCCCCCCTCAAATTTGAGACGAAAAAAGAGGCTGCCCTTCGTAGGCGGGTATAAAAATTGCAAAAAGTTTTCGAAATTCGAGTGTGCATTAGGCTTGATTTTAATAGAAAATGTCCAACCTAATTCAACAGAAAACATATTTTTAATGTTAATAATTGAAAATAAGTTAGTTTTATGTCTACAGTAAAATTTGAGCATTTCATATTTGAAATACAAAGTTGTGGTTCTAGAGTCACTGAAAATCGGGTGCGCGTCTTACTCGTGAGATGAAATTTTATCCAAATTTTCAACTGAAAAGCCCCGGTGTTCGTCTTACTTCAGGGCGAGTGGTAATCGAGTAATACGGGTGATTTTATTTTTCAAAAACTTACAGGGAAACTTGGTTAGAAATTTCAACTATGCACAGTACCAGGAGAACTTCAGGATCATCACGCATTTGTTATTCGCTCAACAAAGATTTTGTATCCGCTTGAAACAGATCTTCCGAAATATACGAAGGGGCGAAAGTCAGCAGAGCGAGTAAACGAATATGCGAATCCCATAACTTGAGGTTACATCAGTTCGGGTATTATTTCGTCTTCCCTATTCTTCCTCTCCAACCCAATTACAGGCTTAATCTAGTCGATAAGATTGCATCCTCTCATGCTTCAATCATTGAAGGGTAACTCCAATGATCATTTGTTCGTTGGATTACACCCTCTTATCGATAAAGCAATTGTTTTTTTTTTTTTTGTGCTGAAAGTCAAGAAATCTTTCATTAGGAACTCTCGGCATTTCAGTAACACGACTGCAGTAAAATCTTTTTGCAGTACAACAAACCTATCGGGACCAGAAATAAGCTTTGTCAGGACAAAATCGTTTTCAAGAAATTTAAACAACCTCGTGGCCATCAAGCGGGGACCTAAAAATGAACTTTTGGAACCAATAATTTTTTATATGCGATTCTGTCGCATTATTGTGTCGGAGGATGAAATTACCCGCACGGGCACGAGAAACTGAAAGTCAAGAAGCTCATGAGATTCTCAATTCCATCAACCCATCGTATCACGATCGCAAGTCGTCTAAGTTTTTTCGTGAACACTTTTTTGAAAAAAGTCATTCATTTTTAACGTACCGATGCACCACGCGTCCAGACGCGAACGACTTTAGGTGAAGAACGTCAAGATAACATTCCCCTGAAGATCATTCCAATTTTTTACTGAAATATACGATTAACCTTTCTTAACGCGCAAAATTTTAGCAGAAAAGTGCGCTTGGTACTGGAGTATTTACTTCCGCAGAGGTAAGAAAAAAAAAGATTCACGAGTGAAGACATTCCGAAGGAAATTATTGGCAACGCCTGCAGGAGCGATGACTCGTATTTCAAATAAGAGCTATTGAAAATAGGCACGAAAATTTATATTCATTTCAAATTTAATAAAAAAAGAGAAGGCTTAGGATCGGCAATGAAAAAAAAAATCAACCTTCCAATGTGGGACCGTCTTTGCGAAGGATGACATTTCCGATTCCTTTTTTTTGTTTTGTTTTTTGGTTAGTCTCGACCCCAACGTCACGAACTCGCGGAATCTAAACCTTGAACTTGATTAATGATTTCGGAACCGGACTAGACAATGCCAACAAAAAATAAGATACAATCCCATTTCATTATTCGGCGAATTTCTTAACTTGTTTGCTGGCTAAAATGTCAGCATGAAACACAACTGGACACCGGTACTTGGGCCTTTCGGCCAACTTACGCTGGGGGACACAGAGGCAAAATTCATTCTATTTCGAGCTGTGCCCCTACGTAGCCGCTGCTTCTTGGCTAAGAATCTTTCACGAGCGAACGACGAGCAACCTGCGAGTTTTATTCGTTCATTACTACTTTTCCTTGCATTCAAGACACCAGGGGTTCTTCAATCTAACCTCGTTTTATGTTCCTCGAAATTGAATTCATTTTCGGGCTCGGGACGTTTTCGAGCTGATCTTCATCTACTGCAAAAGCTCATTATAACGAATTTTCGGGTAAAAATCAAACATCTGCAATGCTTTTCAAATCGCTTTAAAACGAAGCTTGTTTTGAGGTCCTAACAGCTTCTTTGTAACATTACATCCAATTTAATTTAAATTTTTCTTTAAATGAAAGGATTCTGTGAAACTTGATCTGGAAAATTCCTATGTCATCAACAACTTTTCTATGCTAATTTAATCATTTGTTGATTAGTAGGTAAATTCCAAACATTTAGAATCATACAATGATGTCTATGGAAATCATTTATAAATTGATCTAAAGCTAAAGGACCAAGAATATAGAACATGGTCAATTCTATTCTGCTTCTGCGCAAGCAGATTTGTATACTGACGGTTCTTCCTCAATGATTAATCCTTTCAAGGTCTTTTGGGAAACTTTATTGTTTCTTTTTGTTTTTATAAAATATTTGTTGCTCAGCTATAATAGCTACATCATATTTTATAACTGGTTGTTGTTCCCCAGTACCTTTCTTTTTGGACTATTTGTAGAAGGTATTTCTGATTCTGGGTTGCCAAGGACATTTGACTCTTTATTAGTATCAATTTCTTCTAGGTCACCATTCCTTCTTACGTTTCATGAATAATTTTTTCAGCAATTCTTTTGGAAATGTTTAAGCGCAAAGGTTGAAGAATTGGAAGAAAAATGCATGCGTCATCGCTTGGAGACTGGGTCTTGTGATCCAATAAGTTTCTTGCATTCATGGTGACATAGCAGCTTTAGGATATCCATTGTTCAGCCTTTCCTCTTCTTTTTGCCGTAATCATGAGGCCGTCAAACACGGTTTAGTCGTCGAGCTTCATTTAATTCTTTGCATATCATATTTCATTAAAAATTACAGTTGATCGGCAATCACTTCTCGTTCGAATCCAAGATTATCGAACGCATGACAAACTTACGGAGGGCCAATTAGTCTCCGAAGCCAATTTTGACACAAGAATTGTTCCGTTCATTCGCATAAAAAGGCATGAAATCGGGCTTCCATTGGGCTTTTTATTTTTTTACCGACAGTAGGAAACCTCGGGAATGAAGAAGATAATGATTTCCTCGGGATCTGAGTCAATGAGCGAAAGAATCCTCACGTGGTGAAACGCGGTCTAAAAATAAAGGAAGTCCCGTGGACAACCACACGCACAAATGAACTCTTTCAATCAGGGGATTTCTAGATAGAAAAAGGATCTTTTGGCTCCCGAAGAACTACAACAGAGTTTCACCAATACTAAAGATACGCTTGTACAGTGCAGTATAATTTTCCCGAAAAATAATTAAAATTAAGACCACGTCAGCACAGTATTTTTAATTTCAACAAAAATAAATCTATTGCAGTATTTTCATGAGGTTAGAGATGATTTTCGAACAAAAGCTGTAACAAAAGGACTTCGTGCATTGCAACGTTTCCCAGATGAAAAATTCTTCCGGGGGTTTTCAAAGGATGAGATACAGTAATTGTAAAGCGTTAAGGGTTTATTTAAAATTCGTCAGCTCAAGGATAACACATCCTTTTTTTGACAGGGTCGGCTTACATTCAGAACAGTATTCGAAAATTATACTGTATCTAGAACTTTCAAATGCTGCAATGAATACGCCTTCTTCCTTCCAGAACCGCGGAAGTTTAAGGTAAAATGCGATATGAATGAAAAATCTTCTTTTCGTGTTCCACCAGGGATGCGATCCGCAGCACCCAGATCCCCGAGCGTGTCCGCTTCATCAACATCAGTGAGTCACAACAACAAGGGAACTGTTCGCAAGAATGTAGTCCTGCTGAACAACAAAGAACAGCAGCAGCAGCAGCAGCAACAACAGCAACATAACAACAATGAAGAAGCCAGTTCAAGGCCAAGGGCTGTTGCTGAGCGCAAATTACCAAAGAACTCGATTTTGGTCAGGACTCCTTCCACAAGAATTCACAGGGTTGCTCATTTTCCCCCTACGCCAGCACCAAGGTTCAACAACAAGGAGACACAAGAAGGTACCGATTTCAATTATCGGAATTCCGCGTTTTTTTTATAATTTCTTTTTCGATTTTTGAACCTAGGGAATAGGAGTGGTCTTAGGTACAGTACTTCTTCCTAAGAGGGCTTCATTTCCAAAAACACTGGGATTTTTTGCTTGTCTGCATAGAGCAGTTATGTCATCTTGATTAAAATTTCATCAGTTGGGAACTGTGCCACACCTCATTAATCGAGGCAAAATTAAAGAAGCGTAAAAACTTTCTAAACTAAAAAAAAAGCTTGAATATGACCCCTCCTCCTACCACTTTTCATGCTTCCCTTGATGCTCCAACATTTTTTACTTAACATGTGGGCTAATCCCAAAAATCTAAAATCATATGACCATCATCCCCAATACTTGACCAAAGGACAGAGCAATATATCAGTTACAAGGCTATTTTTTTTATTAAATGCATCAGTCAGTTGTTTTTTGCCCCAATTCAAAAATAGTGTGCTCAAGAGAGTTTTGCTGAGTTGTCAAAAGAAAAGCTAGCTTAACCTTTTTTTTTGCTTGGACAATTTTCAGAATACACTTTCAAGTTTCAACTTCTAATTTGATGAGAATTCTCAGCCAGTCACAGTCTGGTTGACTTTTTTCCCCTTCTAACTTTTGCAGTTTTATCCTTACTGAATGCGCAAGAAATAATAAAAGGCCTTATTTTTAAATCGCATTCATTGTTTTTTCCCTTTTTTTGAGAAGAGTGTGCCCCGAGAGAGTTTTGCTTAGGTTTTAAGAAGAAACTCTTTTTGTTGACATTTTTCTGAAATGAACTTGAAAAATTCAGATTTGATGATAATTAACGGCCAATCCCGGGCCGATCGACTTCTTTTCTTTCCTCTGAACTTCTTAAGTGTTTATCCTTACTCAATCCACATTTCCTTTGCTTCTTGCGTTGCCTGACATTTGTCCCCATTATGATGGTTAAGGCCACCAAAATCAATAGGTTAGTTCATGTTGGGTATCTAACCTTTCTTCGCACAGAAAGGAAAAACGTTCCAAATGCTTCATGTTACGAGGCAGCAATCTTAAGCTTCGCGACAGATAAAACGTTCATTTGAATTCAGTTTTGGTATTTTTTGAACAACGGGAATTCTTTGTCTGCAGTTCACCATTCTCCACCGAAGAGTCTGGTTGCGGAGTGGTGGTCCTTGGGCCTGATGAACATCGTGTGCAGGATTTCGGCAACATCTTTCTCGTGCGGAATAGACGGTTACCAGCTCAGCGAAAATCATCACAATACAGTGTTGGAGAGTCCCGAGATGGAAGAGCAACGGGAAGCGGAACAGGCCAGAAAAGAATTCAACAGCTACTTCAACCAGTTGAGGATTTACAAGAAACCTTCGGTGCACTATGCCCAAGATTCCCAGGTCTGGTTGAACCCAGTAACGGGGGAATTGCATCCCGTGACTACGATGCCGCAAGACTTATTTTTGAAGGAATGGTACGATGATGATCAACATCTGATGAGCGAGATTCGCCGGAGACGGATGTGAGCAGGGACGGATATACAGTAGTGCATTTTAACTTTTCCGAGGAATTCGCCAATTTTTGAAAAAGGCTCCTCGCATCATTACCAAAAGTAAACTCGTGTTCAGGAAACCCGGAATGAAAATTTTTCGGGAGAAATTGAAGGTTGTGATGACCAAATGTATTCTTGGTTTGAAATTGAATCAAAGGAGATCAGACGTTTTGAAATGAAATACAATTCTGTTGCTTGTTTTATTCACTATGAATCGCTTAAAAAAAAATTATCGCGCACTGAGAACTTGAAGTCGAGAGAAATCTAGAATTTGTAGCCAATTCTCAACAAAGAACTGTTTTTCTTTGGCTACCTGTCCCTGGCAATTGATTTTATTTTTAAGACACACTAAGTAATTTTTGTTGAATATAATTTTGGCTTTCTATATTTGAACACTGCTACAGGGACATGCAAGGTTGACAGAGTTCAGGAAGCTTTCATAAAATATTGACCAGTTTCTTGAGCACTTCTCTCGATTCAATTATTTCAGGATCTTGACCTTTTAAAACTACTGTACCACGTTTGATGAACTTCTGCATTTTATCATAGATACCAAAAAATCCCAGGTGAAAAGAAAACGCGAAAAATGTCCAACCACACAAAACTTTTTGGACACCCTGTAGCTTGGAACATTTTATGGCAGAATTTGATTTTTCCGATGCTCAGATGTTTCTGAGCATTTGAAATGACGTAATGAAAACCAGATTGAATGATGAAGACCCTCGGCGGCCATTTAAACATTTTCAGTATTCGTCCTATGGCACATGGCAAGAAAAGAGTTACTTCATCCCTTTTCATTCGATTGAAAATAAACAAAATTTTGCATCACGTAAGACCCTCACGATAGAAACTCCACCTATAATACGTAGTATCGTTTTTTCATGAAAAGAACATTTCAACGTTCCACGCAAATAAAAGAGAGAAACAAAATTTTAACGACTTTTTGTTAACTGGAAACTTCGTGAACTTGAGGATCCCTTCACATACTGTAGTTAATACAGTAGTAATGAACGGTCAAGGAACACAATTACCTGTGTATCATGCTCATATTTTGAGACAACAAAAAACAGGCGAGGGTCATAAACGACTACGATATTCATTCGCTAGCCAAGATACTATCAAAATTTCTCATCGGATGCGGGTTTTTTCAGGAAGGCGCGTGGTAAACGGATACATATAAATATTTCATCATTCAGGTCGCTATTTCATGAATAATATCCAGCTGCGCAAATACGGGGAGAAGTTTTCAATATTTAATGACACTCACGTCACGTTTTTCCGAATCAATGAAACGAACGAGAACTTGTATAGCGTCACAGTGAGATGTTTAACGACTGATCCACGCGCGTCGATAAAAGAAAAATTTTCCCACCGCAACACCGGGCACACAGAGCATTTGTCAGCAACTGTGTTTTGAACGCGAGCCAAAGACGGGAGGAAGTAGGAAGAGTCAATTCTGTGATACTGCAACTAACACCTGGTTCACCACTAAACAACAAAAAATAACAAGAATACCAGGAATAAAGCTCACCGCAAGTCCGACGAAGGGAGCAACCACACTTCCAACCCGTGACGACATGAAGAAGAATCCCAATGCAGCTGTTCTGATCCGGGTGGGGTAGATTTCGGTGCTGTGGATGTAGATGACCGAGAAGCTCGCCGATATGCAAAGTTTCCCTGAAATATGCGTATCAATCAAATCAGAATTTCGAAGTTAAATCCGAAAATTTGAATTCCTTGAATGATTGCAGACGACGCACAAAATTTTCGGGCGAGCACCACTAATGAGCGTCAACTCGGGAATCTTTATTGGCATCTCATTGCTGCATCGACGCACGAAACATTTCTGACATCTCATGTCTCATCCTTTCGGATGTGATGAAAAATGCGTTCATTTTACTCACGCCTCACGTTCTCGATTCCGATTTCCATTAAATAGGAGGCTTCATTTCCGCAGTATCAAAAATGTAAATCAACTTTCACTTTAAATTTGTTTGATTAAATTCGTGTCACACTTCTTGAAATTTATCATATTCTGGGCTATCTCTATCCGATAACAGATGCTTGCTACAAAATCCGATTTAAAAACGTGAGGTTCTTCGTCGAAACTGGCATTTTGGAAGAATTACTGGTGGAATCTCTCCACGACGAAATTCAAGGGACCAGAAAAAATTCGTTGCAGAGAACCCTATGAGACTGAAGACAAATTCGTTATACAGAGAAAATCGTTGTAGAGAGAGTCCCCTTTTATTACCATGTGCAAACCTATGATCCAAGGGAATCTCAGGAGAAGAATGCGGTTGATTTTTAAGGTCAATTTTCCACGGAGTCCTCGCAGAAATATGGACACGATCAAACATAAGATAATTTATGGTACTGGTATGGATGAGAAAGATAACGGGTGATTCACTCATGGAAATTTTTTTCATTCGCAGAATCGGGTAAGGGAATTTCAAATAAATTTGAAACAGAGGGATTTCGAGAGACAATTCTTTGAAAAGATCTGATAACAGACATTCGTACCTTCAAGTTAAAAGAATAAGTGAGAAATGCGGAAAACTTGGATTGCACCCAGAGACCAGACATAGCAGGCATTGTAAGTGTCACATTGATAAAAAAAAAATGAATAAAAATTATTGAACCTTTGAACTGGTTTTGTGATTTTCGGTCGAATTGGCGGTACAGGTGACACCTAACCCAGTAACCCGACATTCCCGAAGCACAGCCAGGTGCTAAGATAAAAACCCAGGTTTTGCGCAAAATGTTAAAAAGCACGAAAAACGCAACTTACCAAGAAGTCCGAGAATAAATTTTGAACTGGCTCCAAATTCATTCTGTGGCAGAAATTCGATGATCACGCAGGACAATCCGCCTCCGATCATGAAAATTCCCAACGCGGCACATCTTCCCATACTGTAAAGACGAGTCAAATGCGTGAAGAATGAGTTGGTTCACATTAGCAAAAACTTCACCGGCTAAAAAAAAAAAAAAAACGTAATAAAAAACGGTAAACGTTTCTGATGCTAACCGGAGATATTTGGGGTCGAGTTACTTTTTGGCCGCTCTTCGAAATAGGTGTTACAAGCGAGGGAACAAACATTGAGGACGGAAGAACAGTCGAACTACGAAATTTAGTTGGATCTTGTTGACTTTCCAAGTTACATTACGAGAAATCCAATAAAATATTTTAAATTTCTTTAAAATAATCCAGGACATAAAATATACCCACCGCATGAGCTCATATGTTTCAACGATAAATTCAACCGCGAACCGTAATTCAATTGAACTCCCGTCTCCGCGCTTCACAAAAATTATGGAAATAGGGGTGAGCATAAAAATATATTGAATGAACTTACCAAAGGAAAACAACAAGCAACAGTAACGTCCCAGGAATTTCAACAGCTCCGGAAAGCGCAGACGCAAGGTATAAATCTTTGCCGAAATTTCCCGCAGCCAATGCTAGTCCATAATACACAACGCTGTTGGTAAACCTTGAAAAAAAGAAGAAAAAAAAACGCGCAATACAGATGAAAAAAGTCTGCCAGAACATGCGTTGAGACAGTTGAGCGCAAATAAAATTATTGAAAATACATGAAAAATTGCAAAACAGGACATAGAGTACGGTAGGACAAAATATCAAGTACTTCAAGACTTATTAAGAGTGTCTACAGATGAAACAGTACCAGAAAAGCATCATACTGGTTGACATAAGAGAAAAGGTAACATTAGCTACCGTAATTTATATCAATATTGTTCATAAAAGGTCATCATCCTAACCGATCATTGTCAAAGACGCTGTTCCTTGCTTTCCACGGCGTGATTTGCGCACTGCAAGATCCACAAAAACAAGAATAACCTGGGGGGGGGGGGGGATCCAATAAAAGCTTCTTTTTTTTCAATCACGAAAGGACGGCGGGACAACGTGAGAAAATTGAACGAGTCCATAAAAAGAAGTGTTCGGCTCCTGAAGGGACAATTTTAAAATGTTGCTGGGCCATCCAATAAAATTAGGGATATACTGTACTGCATTCACGTGTTTTTGGGTCTGGTACCGAGCAAATATGAGTGCTTTTAATGGTTTTCGGAATCCGCTGTTGCGCTCAACATCCCATTATTGAATATAATTACCATGAAAATATCTGAATCAAAGTAATCCGACGTAAAGCAGGGTTCCGCAAGAGACTCGAAGCACTTTCATCCGAGTCCGTTACACCCGCATTTCCAATTATCTTCCACGACGGATCAAACTTCTTCCCGTTCCCCTCTGCAATGCTTGACCATACGGCCTTCGCTTCAGCTTCCCTCCCGTGAAGCAGCAGCCAGCGGGGGCTTTCCGGCACCAATCTGAGCAAAATTCAACAAAAACGCAATTGTCAAAAAAAAAGAGGAACCCTTTCATATTCTTCGGATAACACCAACATGCAATCTCGCAATCGTAACGAAGCGTTTTGCTAGACACGGAACCAACAACGGTTAAGACCCACGCCTTTCCTCTTACAGACAAAGCAGTCATCCCTCGCCCTGAAAAGAACAAAGCCAGAAAAAAATAAGGCGACGAAATACGTGTAAAAAACGAAAGAAAAAAAAAGCCACGTGCCGGTAAAAACGTGTGATGAAACGCCACCAAGACTGAGTATTCTTGATGGAGTAGAAAAAGATCAAAGAACTTACAAAAGCAACGCCGGAACGACTAGACCGCCCACATTGATGACTAAAACGAACTCTTTCCAGTCTTGCACGAAGTATGCCACACCGGAAAGAAGAATAATTCCAATACTGAACCAAAGACCGCTTAGTGTTCCAACCGCGCCGCGTCTGGAAGGTCCGAGGAGCTCAAGGAGCAGCACGAAACTGGGTATCGTGCCAGCGTAAAAGCATCCTTGGAAGAACCTGTAACACAATTCCGTAATTAACACCAAGGATTCCACAAGAACTTCCGTTTTTTTATTATTATTTCGATTCGCAGATGCGAAGTTATGAACTGATCACAAAACTGTAATTGGCTGCAAAAACTGTATGGAATTTATGGAAATGAAAAAAAATTAACTTGTTTGATCGTCTCATCATCTTCAAATTTATAAGACTGGTTTAAACCTTCTTCAGCCCGATTTGTTCGAATTTGATTTCAATTAAATCGAAAACATTGCACATTTCATCGTTATTTGAGCAGTAATTTTCGTCGCAAGCATTTAAGAAATTAAACAAAATTGAATAAAAAGACACGCGACACCAGTTAAAATTTAAATTTCCGCACTTAAAACCTCTTCTGACGAACTAATATACCCATCGGTACAGCATTCCAAAATTCGCGATCAAATGTTAAAAAAAAAGAAAAAAAAAGGGAAGGAGACAGATTTTTGGGCAGAATTCTCACAGTTGTTAGGAATTCAGTTGCAGCACAGATACAGTAATGGAGACCTCGCAGAATGAAATTTTCGCACAACGGACAAGGGGTGCAACTGACTTTTGCTTCGAATATTACTAAACTGTATTAGAGAACATGGACAGTTATTTCAACAACAAAAAATTTAATTTCGAAGCTGCAGCGGGAAATTTTGCCGCTAGCATTATTCTCTAACGGGATAAAAAATAACATATACAGTATTTTATGACAATCGGCATTGTTTTCCTCACGTTTCTGAATGCATTCGTAGTTAATTTGTCCTACCCTAGTTAATGCTTGAAATGCATTCATTCAATATCATAAACTTATTAAGGAAATTTTACAGGGATCTAGAACACATCGGACTTCCCACAAACGGGTAGCAAAAATTCCTCGGCCAAGAGACTTCATTGAGATTTTTCACATAAAGTAATATCCCTTGAAATGTATCGTCTATTCATCGAGGCACCACTGTGAAGAACAATTAACCATGCATTTAAGATATAACAATTCATCTTCATATTGCTAATACATTGAAAAATCCTTCAAGAATTCGCTTACTTCGACAGAAGATAGGAACGATAGTCATGAACGAATGCTTGCATTCCGCCGCAAATGATCGTCATTAAGATGCAGATCACGACCACCCGTTTTCGGCCAAATTTATCCGATAAACGACCACCCGGAAGCCCGATTGCCATCGTTCCCAGCATGTAAACAGACTGTGCGGTTTTCGCCAAATACGCTCGATCGCACACGAGATTCCACTAAAAAGATGAATAGAAACAACGATTCCAACATGATGAGCAACCTTTCGAGTCACGTTAAAGCCGACATCACCGATGTGATGGAAAAACTGAGCTCACATGAATTACAGTGCTACAACAAAGCAAGAATAAAAAAGCAAGACTTCAAAAAGCACGTGTCAGATCAGAAAAAAGATTGAATTCTAGGTCGATTACACGGAAACTGAGCATACAAGCCTAACCATCCTAACAGGACTTACACCTTCGCGAATTTCTCTTCAAATAGTTCATTTTCTGAGAATGGTCCGTTCGATGTGCACCTGAAGGAACGTAAGCGAAATTCTTTCGAGAGTAAAGTAAGGAACAGTATTCGTTGGATCACGATATCAAATTAAGGCCGCAGGAAATAATCTTATTCGGAAATTCATAGAACTAATGCAGATCTTTGTCAACTCACTGTTGTGACCACTGAAGTCAGTGATCCTAAGTACGTGATTTTCTCACATTTGTCCACCCGATTGTCCGGACAGGAGTTCAACAAAGACGTTCCGTTTCCAAAATATGCCTGACACATGAATCCAGGATCGTGCCCTGAAATCACGAAGGAATAATAATTAAATGTCGAAGCGAGGAGCGGAAAATTATATAAATTGATGCTCACCGACGAAAACCATTTGCAATTGATGGAATGGACCATAGAGTCCGAGGACTCCGATCAACAAGAAATAAATCTTCTGCTTCCATCCGAATTCTCCGATTCGCTCGTAAACATCGTCAATTCCAAGCTGTTCCATTGGAAAATTCTTATTTTTTAACAGCTCAGGGGCATAATTTGAACATATTTAGGGAAATTGCGCAAAAAGTGCGCATCTTTAAAGCTTCGTTGACAGCACAGCCACTATTTTATTCGTTCAGCATCCACATGTCACTTCATCCTGCTGATGACATCCAAATACTGCAGAAAGCTTCATTTCAAAATTATACATAATACAATCACACATACATTTCAACATTGAAAGTTACTCGGACAATCCTGCGGCTGGTACTCGAATCCGATGGGAATAAAACATTTACGACGAAATGTGACAGAGCTGACAATGCGAAAAAAGATGTGAAAATCGAACGTATTTACAGACTTATAAAAAAACTCACAACTCTTCCCTGACGAAGAATTTTCTTTCCAAATTTATCTCAACCCGAAGGCTTTATCTTTTTTCTCGATTCCCTGATCACAAACAGATACGAGAAACGAAAACATCAACACGGATCTGGCTTTCCGCCTCGACCATGAGAAAACTCATCTTTGTTTCTAAATCCTCTTCTACTTTCCCACAAAATAACAGATTACTTCAAGAGTTGGAAAGTGAAATTTTGAGCAGTCCAAAATCTGACAAGAAGACGTTCGTGAAAAAGTCCACCTGCATGACATTCATGGACTTGGAGAAACCTTTAAAGTAAGGATCTCATAGAAAAAGTCTGCAATTTCCGGGCTTGCGGGGAATTACGCTTGAAATACCGAGCAAGACATTTTAAAGCGGTTCACTGCGAGAAATTTTCAAAATGTCCTTCGGATAACTCAAATATTGCACGCTTTTTTTATCAGTGACAGAGTATTGGATCTTTTCGTGATATACAAAAAATGCACTAACAGCAGCAGAATTATCAAGTGAACAACTTCCACGAGCACATCAAAGCGCATAATGAAAATGAAAAAATTAACCAGGCGGTTTTCAAAAAATGGAATGGCAACTATAGTTCCCTTTTTTCAGCTCTAGACAATAATGCATCCATGGCCACAAAGGGTATACGACATGCTAAAATTCATCCCTTTGACACAACACACTCATGGACGTGCATGAACAGCGTAAGGCGGACGACCCGACCCGTAATTTCTTCCAGCACCTGACAAAACAGTTGCTCAACACTGATGAACGTAAGTTCAATGAGACTGATTACCACATCGACTAGGGACCAATTCACCTGAAAATCGGGACGTGAAATATGTTCGCATTAGTAAACGCTAAAATGACGTGCGTTATTCAAAGATGTGGGAGAACTCGAAGTGGGAGAAGAATCAAGACATAAAATTCCGAATTGAAATCGTCATGACTGTTCGGGGAACAGAACAAAAACTGAGTTAATGAAATCATGAGGAAGCTGCTTTCAGGTCCTCGGTGATGTAACTGTATTTTTCCGTTGTGCTTCCAGGCCGTAGATATTCCATCCTTTCCAGGATTTTCAGCTGATGCATCCGATACCTCATTTTCACTCGTCGCCGGTACGAGTGTTCTTCGCGGTCGAGAATAACCAAAAAATTATTCAACTCCGGTACCGTGAAAGCATCCCATTGCACATCTTGTGTATCGTTTTCTTGCAGGACTATTTGTTTCTCCGGAGGAAGTGACAAAGGTAACTCTTCGTCTCCCATGCGTCGCATCCTCACTATCAAAACGATACACTACCATTCATATTCGCATATTTTTTAAATGGGTTCCCCGCAAAGAAATTCTTGGCTTCTTTTGGAATGAAATCGGTTTATCTCAGGTAAAAAGTTACACAAGATTTCACTTAAATTATGAATATAAGCATCAAAATAATTTCCCTACATTAATTTTTGCACAAGTGAATTGAGCTGCAGTTGATGTGATTTTAAGAAAGAAGAGAATTTACTCACCTCTCGATGATTCTATTCCTTCCTCGAGTTGTCGTTCATAGAGCGCAAACTTCCGAGGATTATCGACAACTCTGAATTTTCGCAGCAAAGCGGCAATCACATCTTGAGCAGTAGTATCTCTACGCACACATACACAAACAACAACAAAAATCTCTCTTTTGAATTGACAAGACGGTAAGCAGAATAATGTATTACTTTTTTTAATTCGTGATAAAAGTCGATTTTTAGCAAAAATCAGGAACTCTTTTAGACGGAGTTTGAAAATTTTGAGGAATGCCATTTTTCAGCGGTTAAAATAGATGGCCAGGATTTTTTTTAAAGACATCCTGAGTGCCTCATATGGGAAATTTCTATGAAGATGACGCAGCTAATCGAGCAATTGTTTCCTGATGACGAAAACTCATCAAAGCAGGAAAGTTCATCTAGTCACAAGAAAGAACCATTACAAAAAGCCAACTGGAAAAATGCCCGGGCTCAAATGTTCGCACTAAACGCATCCCTCGATTCGTTCAATTGTTCTAATTTTTTGACCACGAAGTTGCACGATTTCGCCACGAAATTCTGGGAGCACAGGAAATACAAGGGCTTTCACTGTAGCCTCCCTAACCGCCTACGAAAATTCCGTAAAAATACAAAATTCCCTCGAAATAGTATAATTATGGTACATAATCATATACTGTACATATATTCATAAACTGTATATACTCTATGAACAGTACAACACTTATTCAATTTTATTATAATGAACAGATATTCTAGAAAATTAAAATCATGAGATCAGGAAAAAGAAACCTCTTGAGAAACAAGGCCGAAAATCTTCCATCTGTCGCTCGGTGGCTTCGCAATATTCGAAGTTTAAAAACTGTGCTCCAAATGATCAAATCCTCTTAAAAATTGAAAGACGCACATTCTAAAATGTGTTCCTTTTGCTAAATATTCCGGTAACTAAAATAAGGGATCCAGCGACAATTTGCGTCTGGATCTCGTCAGGTATTCGTCGTGCCATCAAAAAGAAAACAATGATCAGTTGCAGGAACAACAACAAAATTCGACTCCGTCTTCCTACAATAATGATTCATTGGCGATTCGAAGAACTTCCGAGAAATCCATGGAACACTCTGTTATTGAGACTAAATGATTTTCGTAAAGGAGTGTGAGTCTGGGTCTTACGACTGATGAGACATTCAATAATGTCTCATCAGTCGTAAGTTCGCTCATCAGTCGCAAGTTCGATTCGTAAATTTACCTCGCAATATGAATAATTTTCACAGTCCCACGTGGAAGATAAAATGAAGTCAGCATTCTTTGATCGATGGAGTCCGTGTCGAGTCCAGTTGAGGCTTTAATCTTGTGCTGAATTACGTCAAGTATAGACGGGGGTCGAGTCCCGGCAACCACATTGATGGGTCTACCGAAATTCAAAATTATTCGGAGATATCCTTGTTCTGGTCTCAGATCCTCGTCAGACGCGGTTAGGTCACGCTTCTGGTCAACCTCGACGTTCGGAGATTTCAATCCCGCAGACGGAATAACTTCATCAAGTCTCAAAGTTTCAGCGTCACAGTACTCTGAAAAAAAAGGGGATCATCCAGAAAACATCAACGCACGAAAGAAACGCAGCAATTAAACAGTAGTACTGTACTGTAAATTTTGGAGCCGATGACTCAGCGAGAAAACTGACTAATTAGTATAAAGTTGCCGGATAAGATGTTCGACAAATCGAAATACTGTAGTTGCTCATGATATAACGCTGAATATCGATAAAAAGTTTTACTTCTTGATGACAGAATAGTTCCTGGTCGCTCGGCTCATTGGCTGAAATCATTGTCAAATGTTAACCAGATCAGAAAATCTAGCCTTTCCCACTAAGTTCTTTCATTACCCAACAAATTTTGACATTTATCTTACACATAATCTGTAAATTTAAATTTTCACACCAATTGTTTTTCCATAGAACAGTGATTTTTATGCACACTGAAATTCATCAACAGTCTTGGATCTGCTCATAGACAGCTAAAAAGCGTCCTACAATAAATTGAAAAACCCTTCTGCAGAAGATGTTCTTCACAATTTGAAACTACTGAAACGAACAGAGGACAAATTCGAGTAATACTGAGGGAGAGTAAAAAACCAAAGTCTGCAAAAATGACGATTAGTATTTTGGCAATGTGTGCAGGTTCATTGCCATGATAAAAGAAAAAGCCCACCGAGATCAATAGTTACACGTCAATTTTTCTCTCAAATAAACAACATTGATGCCACGCTAGCGATATTAAAATACCAAAATGTAATGTTTTCTCTTTAAAAAGATGTTGGTGCTATTCTAGTCAGGGAATCGTCCAGCCAGCACTTGAAAAACATATTTGTCCAAGTTTCGTCGTTAATTTTCTCTCACGCATCTAGTTAACTTTCAAACCCAAAGATTGCAAAATATATTGAGAAAGCCTGGTAATCTGAGGAACATGTTTCACACGTTGAAGATAATACTATTCCGGGCAAATCCCAAGTCTCTATGAAAAAACTATCCCTCCTTTAGCGTGAATATGACCACAGTTGATTAAAATACTTATATGAAGTCTCGCGCCTTCACGTCATTCTCACCAGTGTCGTCAAAGAGAAACGGTGGTTTTTCATCCAGCGTCTTTTCTAGGTCATCGTTCGTCGACAGCAGCGCTATGTTGTCGACAAAGGTGGTTTCGGCGATTTTCGCATGCACCGGGCAAATCCTCCCACAATCGCAGTCATGCTCCCCCAAAACAGCTTCTTTCCCTTCTTTCACAGGTCGAAACCTCCGAAGCTCCCGCACTAAACACACTGTCTTATGCGTCCAGCACGAACATTTGGGCCGCATTTGCGTTAGCATCATGTCTCCTTCCTACAGCAGCAAATTTTGCAACACCCATTCGTCAATAAAAGCAAGGGGGGAAAAAACGTGCTTCTCAAATCGACGGGATCTATAATACGGAAAAATTGGGCAATGATAAAAAGTAACGCAGAAATGATCAGAACGAACGAGTTAAGCGCAACAAAATGAAAAATGGCTGAAAAAGCAGTTGATTTCTAGCAAAGCTGAACCTATAACCAGTCAACGACAGATTTCGGCTTCAAAGTTGCTCTCAAAATATTAACCAGAGGATATCATCCTGGCTGGCTTCACTAAAACTATTAAAAAACATTGACTTAAAATGCCAACGAAGGGTTTAAACGTAGAGCAACCCATAAATCAAGATGAATCTACAGAAAACAAGCTGAAATATTACGTAAAGAGCAAACGTCAGTGAAGCAATCGAAAAAACGAAAGAAGTGATTGATTTGAGCAAATAATGTGATAACGGCCAAGCCCTGTAGAGAAGCCCCCGAATAAGCCGCCACCCTACGTAACCGCCAATTTCTCCTCAAGAAGAAATCTTCCATGACTATAGGATTGGAAATCACGTTAAAACGCCATCCGACATTATTATTGAACGATCAAATATGCTCCTGCCAGATAATTTTGTATTCAATAGCACACCAACAACATTCAAGTTTTTGTGAGAGGTCTCCAATTAGAAAAAAGCACAAACACAAAGATTACATAAATTACGGAAGTTCTTAGGGTTATTTGGATGGTTTTCCATAAGAAAAATAATGTCATTTCCTGTTACCGTACTCACTCGAGTACGACGTGCACTTTTTTTTCAAAATTACGTAGAAAAAAAGAGGGTGCATGTCATATGTGGGTATACAATTTTGCAAAAATTGTAAAAGTTTAGATGCTAATAATACTTGACTCTTGGAAATTTCATTGAAAAATTAACAAACAACCAAATCCTCAATGGAAACAAATCAAAATGAATTCAATTTGGGTTCGAATTCAAGTTACGATTTTGAGTTTGATGCATTTTATTTTCAAAACTTTGCCCCTTTTTAGACACTAAAGTGTTATACTTAGGGATGGGATTTTATCCACATTTCATGACCAGAAAACAAGGTGCGCGTCTTTCTTGGGGTTGCGTGTAACTAAAGAAAATAGGATATACAGTACCAGTACTTGATTTTCATATCACAGTATTTTGGTAATCACAAACTCCCTCAATATCGTCGCAACTCTCCACAAACAAATAGCGGCGGCTTATCAAGGTTTGACTCGTACAGTAACTTAAAATGGCCAGTTTTCTTCGAGGCAGTTGGCGAACCTACCTGCGCGAACTGGCCCTCGGTGGCCGAGGTGGCCCAGGGCAGAGTGGACGCCCGGTCGTGCCACTCTTCCCCCCTCGGCTCCTGCATATTCGGCATGGTTTGCTGCGACGCTTCCGGTCGGGCTCGAAGCGGAAAGCCAAGCTCCATAGCGAGGTTGAGCAAGCGGGACGTTACGGTCGCGGAAGGCGAGTCGGATCGGTCTCGGGACTCGTCTTGAGGACTCGGACCCCGGCTGCCTGCAATGAGTTGTCCCATGGCAAGGCCGTGCGTATTAGAAGGCAATCCGGAAGAGCATGCATCGGGGAAATCACTTCACGCATGCACAGCGAGTTTTGGCACGCAGGAAGAGAAAAAGAAAAGAAAAAAACACCAAATTTATGACGAAACGAAGCAAGAGTTTTTTTGCTCTCTGACGGAAATCCGAGGAGAAAAAGAGAGAGCGAGAAATATAAATGCACGATGAAGCACGAGACGACTGAAGCATTCGAAACGAGGTGGGGGAAAAATTCACGATGTTCAGTATCCAAATGTTGCCTTGTTTTAAATTTAACGGAGCATCAGCGTTTTCTTTTCGTTTCAGACGATTAATTCCAAGTCTCAAAACAAACTGAAAAGCCGCCCGAAATTCACCTAAATTCAAAACCACAAAATGCACCTCACGCACACCTTCAAATCATTACGCATGAATCGGGGAAATCAACAGTTTCCGGAATTTTGAACCCCTTGCAAAAAGCTAACTTCGACTCGGTAAAATTACATCCTTTCTAGACTTCGGTCCCAAGTTTTGCACAACTACATTTTATTGGAGAGAAGTTGAAAAAAAAAGGAGTAGAAATTACTTTGGGGAAATGCGGTTTACTTGCCACACATGCAAATTTTAAAAATGTACGGGCAAACTAAGTGATAGAGAAGAAAATCTTTTTTAAATTATCAAAACATTTTGGTAGGCATGAAGACTGCTCAAATGAAGAAAACGCTGTGATCTCAGCCATGTTCATGTTGATGATGCAGAACGTGAAGATCACCCTAACATGTCAACGCGACAAATTAAATGTAAATAGAACTCGATGAATTTCAATGAGGAATGAATCAATTCAAAGCAGAAAATCAAGGACTTCAGAACGGCAATAGAAAACCGAAAGTAGTTCACTGCCAACATTCTCAGACAACGACGCTCGCTCATTCAAGTTTCCAAGCAAGGATCTCAGGTTTCCGAGAAATTTCTCACAAAACTCAGAGTATGCTGGAACGTTACGCAGAAATCGAGATTATTTGAATTCGTACAGCAGTAACAAGGGCTGAAGTTCAGAGAGAAAGATTATGCGTTAGCAGCGTGTGCGTCAAGTGTTCTGCTGCACGTGCAGTTTTTATAAAGGCATCTAAAAACGAACTCAAATTCAGACCATATAAACGGCTCAATGAATACAATTAACACACGACGAAATCAGATGATCCAAGAGAGAAAGTCCATGCAAAAAAAAGGAACGAACACCGGCACAAAGCGCAGAAACCTACTTACAATTAACGTACACGTAACTGATTATGCTTCAAGTACAGTACTTCGATAAAACATTCGCAATGTGATGCGAGCTCCGCATCGATGGGTTTTTCGGGTCCTCAAACCTTGATATGCACTGCTTCGACACACACTGTTCACCGTCTTCTATTTTACTGAATCTTTCTTCATTTATTCTGTGACAATTTTTCATGGAACTTTTCAATTATGAACGGGAGAAAAACCACCGTTCGACCGTGTTCCAAATAAAATTTAACTTGGCAACAGCAAAAAAAAAGAAAAATAGGCACCCCTCATAACATAAGCCCTACTCGAATCACTAAAATTACAGTAAATCCAACGAATTCAACACTGCTGGACTAAGATTTCATTTACTGCCATATTCTATACACAGCGAATTCTTTATTGCGGTCCCTAGCCCATGATACCGTAATGTACAGTATTGTACTCGTACTAGGCCATTTATGCGCAAAAAGACCAACACAAACATGGATACGGTATTTTAGACAAATCGGGTATTAATGTCATGTACACAGTATCTCGAAATTCGCTTCAAAGAAGGTTCAACACAAAACCCTGTTATCGTACAGCGTCAACACGTAATTTCTTGACAAAAACAAAAAATGAAATTTTTTAAATTTCACCTTCCCCACCGGAAAGAAAAAATAAAAATATGCTTCATGGTACCGTAGTTGATGAAACCATTAATATTTTTTTCATCAAGAATGGCAGGGAAAATTTGTTCACAGCGAAGCTGAAAAATCTACAGACGCTGGAGGTTTCAATTATATCTCAAATGCAGGCGTTACGCGTTCAAAATTTATTGAATTTCAAGGTTTCACACCATATTACACTGTACAGGCTAGTTTCGTACATAAAACATTCCTTAACAGTAAGCCCTTCCGTCTTCAAAAATAAAATAAAAAGCAACTCAAGGATTTGTCCCAGTTTCGAAATACTGTAGCAATTCACGCAAAGATGTTAAAAGTTTAAAATGAGTAATACTACAGATGAGTTTATCTAACAAACACGGCGAAAAAGAGTGACGCTGAATTTTAATTCGGCAACAGACCGTGAACTGAATCGATAGATGATTGACCTGTTAGTCACATAAACGATACATTTCCGCGGTAACGATTCCGAGATCCACGAGATAAGAGAACCCGAAGGGAAAGGGTATAATTCAAATGAGAAGTTTCAGTACGAATGCACACTTCCTGCGAACGCTTCACTTTTCCCGCCGACGACGCGGCGGACACTTTCAACGTTTAGTCAACATCGGGAAAGAAAAAAATGGCCGTTCCCACGAACCTGCGAAAAAAGAAAATAAAACAGACTTATCTCAATTTGTAGAATCACAAGGAACATACGAAAAAAAATAAACTCGAGCTGGAAAAAAGGCTGGATTGAATTTGCAGCTCCGAAATTTATCGAAAAACAGTAGCTGCGAATCAATAAAAACGAGCACGCTTTATCGTCGACCTTTCTTCCTGGTTTCGCTTTTGTTACATTCGGTTCCTTCATTCATTTTCGAGCTTTCCATCCTACTCGACTCGGTATCACAAAACCCTCCTTCCACGAGTGCTTCTCGCGCCACGTTGTTGATGTGCTTGAAACGATCAGGTCCGAGCAAATGACCTCCGTACCAACGAGAGACGACTACTATCACGTTCATCGAATGGGTCATCTGAAACCAAATGAAATACGAAAGGACGAGAAGAAATTTAAATCACTGCACAAATCCACACGTGAATTAAAAAAAAAAAAAAATCCCATGGCATACTACAACGCACTACGCATATCAAGAAGCAGAACAAAAACTACGGATTCGATACAATACAATACAGTATTCGATTTGCTCCAAAATTCGTCCTTCAGTCGCCTTGCATTGAATGAAATCATTTGATCAAATGCTTCCTGGAGGTCGATAGAACGCCAAAATAAGCGAAGCGCAAGATTTCAGCGCAAGTGAAGGCTAGGATTAGCCCAATTTTCCTTTCGCAAATTATTTCAACGTGACAAAAAACCCAGACGGGTTTCTCAAATTGTGAGTGAGTTGGAAAATGTCATCAAGCCCGACTAAACAAGGTGGTAAACCACGTATCATTGATAAAAAGAAAACGTGTGTCCCATAGGAGTAGAGGAGGAAAATAAGGAAACATCAGTCCCACAAAATGGATCACTTCGTGCAAGAAAAGCTCTTTCAACCAATTTTACCACGTTAAAAATTCTATCGTTTCTCAAAGGTATCTGACCGGAATAAGATGACTTTCCAAGCCATCAATAAATTAAAGTACTTGAATAGTCAACCAGGTTTCATCCGCCTCAATGATAGTTCGTCCATGACTGGCAAAAATTACAAGAAATCCTAGTACAAGTGGATAAAGCACCTGTATAACCTTGCGAAGCGTTCCAGAAATGTGTTCTTCGGATTTCATCCTAATAATGTATTACTACGTGAACAATTCAAGCCGGTTAGAATAAATTCATCAACTCACTTTCAACAGATGCAACAATCTCGACCCCGCTTGACTCTCTCCATCGTCATCACAGTCTTGATGAATCACTCGCTTTTCGGGACAATAAAATCGATAAGCTCGCACGTTATGCGTGGCTGCTTGAATTTGCCGAAAGGCTAAAAGCTGCTCCACCACCGATCTACGAAGTAAAATTAAGGTCAGGTTTCATTCACTGCAGTATGTCGTAGGGAAGCTATGCTAACCTTACTTCTGCCAAATTAGTCACACCAGCAGCATGAGCTTGAAACCGACTTTTTCTGTCAGTGATCACTGAACTGTGCAAGATCGGTATAGATTTCGGGGTGCTGTCATAAAATGTCAAATCTAACGAATCCAAACTGTCGTGCATGTCGATTTCCGGGATCGGGGACACCGTCACATCGAGCAGCCCATGACGTTCTTCATTTTCATTGGGAATGTTGAGTTCCTTCACGAACGTCTCCACTTGTTTGCCCCATTCGAATAAAACCGGGGATCCGATGTTATCCCTACCATTAGGAAAACTTTCATGGAAACTTATCCTCCAAACGACAGGTTATTTAATGGACGAACAAAACTTCAAACGAATGCGTTTTTCCGCCACGGAAAAGAGTTGTTGAATTCCAAGTATTGGAAATATATATTGTTTGCCCAAAAAATAACCCTAAAATAATGACCACAAAACATACAAATAAAGGTTCTCCAGCTGCATACCGAGGTTATCTATCAACCGTTTTTCGATCACTGAAGGATGGCTGATTTTTAGTTCATACGTCGGAGGAGCGACTTCCGGGTATCCCGAAGATAATCCAACGATCAGCTCCAGCACCGGTTTTGTCGCAAAACTGTGCTTCACGTGTTGTAGATCGAATTGAAGTTTAAACTTATTCCATTCAAGCTTCTTCCATTCCTCTGGGTAAATGGACTCCATCGCCTCGACCTCTTCGGCCTGGACAAAATCGTTTCGACTCATGAAAATCTGGTTGTGAAAGAAAAATACTTTCGACGAACCTGGTCAGAGCTGAGCGCTTTCAAATTTGACATCGCCATCAGCTTACACTCATTAAAAATCATACAACTCAATGAATCGACAATGCAATCTGCACAGATGGTTTTCAGAAGACCAGAACAGCAAAAAAAATTAGGTATATACAGTATTTATTTGCTTATTTTGTAAATAAAATTAAACCTACACAATTATGAATTTATATTAATTTCTGGGATGAAACTAAGTATCTTGAATAACACAGTGTATGTGGTCGAATTTTCTTGCATTTATACATGTGTAAGGATTCCGTCGGATCGGATCTCTTCAAGATACAGAACAGTCCTCAGTTTAATTCCCGAAATTAATACATATTCATGAAATATGTACGATGTTGACGCATTTTAACACAAATCCTACTTCAGACGTGAAAAATACAAATAAATGTGATTTTGAATGAGTACTCGAAATATCGATGCCGCAGTGGCGATTAGGATAATAGCTACGCAAGAATCAGAATCAATAGAAGTGCAGGTTTCCCGCATTGTTAAGAGGACTGGCTCAAAATTTTCGTCAGTTTCTCATGTTCCGAAGTTTGATACGATGATCTCGACAGAAGTGGAGAAAAATGGACCCAATTTTTCCGAAAAAATATTTTCATCATTATAAGACAAAAACTTTAAGTATTCGTAAAAACAGGCTGACTACCGAGAGCAGACGAAAGGCATCCGATATTCGCGTGGAACGTAAGTTTATCGGTCAATTTTATTAGTCGACAAGTGATCCTAAATATACAGGAAATTTGTCATCAACAAAAGGCACGTTACTAAGTGACGGTCAAATTGACATGATAAATTACTACATTTAGATACTTGCTGTTTGAAGGAAGGTGGTAGGGATTGGTATAAAAAGTCAAATGGTGAGCTACAAGTTACCCAATTCAGGGATACAATTGATAATTTCCCGCTAAGAAAGCAAACGTTATCCGAGAAGCTCTGCCGAATTATAAGTTACTGACAAACACAAAACATGAACCAATCCTCGTGATAGCAATTTTAAAAATTATGCGGAAGTTTCCCAATTTATCTGGAAGAGTATAATGGAGATTACCTGCAAATTCATCAAAAAATTTCATTTTCGCGGAGAAAAGAGTAGCTACAAATTTGAATTCACCCCAATGAAACGTCGACTGACGAAAGTCAACGTTTCAATTACATACATTTTAAAGCGCATCACTCGACAATTTTATTGCTGACAAGAGAAGCTTTTGAATGAAAGCCAATCGATAAAGCGTAAGAGACTATAACAAAAATACGATCAGAAAAACACAGCCTCAAAGCAATTGATTGAAAGCCTCGGAATATTTCCTTCCTTTAAATCACAGTCAAGTCTAGTTTTTCCTCGCGTTTCAACGAGTTTTCCGCGAAGGATTCCTTCCAAGGAGTCTCGAGGACAGAAGCGCCTCTTGATAATCTCCCGTATCGAATGCGTTGTCCAGGATGTACGCAACCGTGCCCAGCATCAATCTCACGCCCTTTCCCATCACAAAGCACGCTGAACGCCACATAGACGCTTCTCCACTTTCTCGCGGGAATCCGCCGCCTCCACCTTGCCTTCTTACTGCATAGCATCTCTGCACCTTTCGCTCAACGGGACAGTATCCTCGGGATAATACAGGCTGATCCGCACCCGAAGAACGCCTGAAATCTTTACACACGTCCGCAAATTTCCCCTTCCTGGATGTCCGCTGACTTTGCGTCAAGCTCGCACGTTTTACACCTCCCTGCGAAGCCGGCGCCACTCGACTGGCGCCTTGTCCACCTGCGATGATTAAAAAAACAAAAAAACTGCAAGTTTGAACCGATGTTTCCAACGAATTTTCATGAAGTTTTAAAAGAAGAATTCAATCTCAGCTGTCTAGCAGATGAAATAAAATCCTTGCACAAATGCATAGTTTGGCGCTCCTCTTTCTTCAATGCAGAACCAATTGCGTACCACAGCAATACGGGCTTCAATTGTGAAGCTTTGGGATCATTTGATAACACCGAGACCGTCATAACTCTCATAAGTGTGAAATATCAACTACGAAATGCGCATGAAGGGAAAATAGGTGATGTACTTGTGGTCGAGTACATCGACCACAAATCATACATGGCAGTAAAATTGAATCAAAGGAACATAAAAAAAATAAACGGGAATTCATTCACGTAATACTTAATACAGTACAGTACTGTATCATGGAAGTACAGTAGATACATAATGATTACCGCATATCATACACGGTGAACTGACCTAGAATCTTCTGGAAAAACGCGTGGGAGTTCAAAAAATTTTTCCGCAGAAATAGAAATCCCGTCGCATTCTTCGGATGGCGTTATGATCTCAAAGCTCATTAAATTTCATGGATTTCAGGTCACATCTTCGGATGGCACCCGTTTAAAATTTGGAAAAAAAGGCTTCAAAATTGAAAAATTCGCCCTCTGTCGTGTAGCATAAGAAGTTGAGAACAAAAAACTACAATACAGAAAAAAAGGCTATCAAATGGTTTCCCATCTGAAAGGAACTCAAGGGTCTAGGGAAAATTTTGAATCGCATTTCTCGGAACTTATGCGTCGAAAACTATAAGAAGTTTACGCACAAAATTTTAGTTTCGTTTTCTGAGTTTTCCCAATTTTGGGAACCTCAATAGAAGTCTTCGAACCAATACTAAAGATCTGACATTCAACCCCACGTTTGGGCAACAAAGCATTTCCAAGGCAGGCGATACCTACGTACAGTATTACAGTAGATGAGAAAAATCAGGTAGTGCCTGAAAGCCACGGGCTGCGGAGAAAAACTGAGCCCCGCAGAATATTTCTAAAACTCAGTCGAGTTGTATTAAATCCACCTCATTAAGAAACAAAAAATAAGAATGGCTTCAAACTCACCTTCAGGACAGATAGAAGGGAACTGACTACGTTCAAGACCATGAGCAGAGGATCGACTAGTTATACGACTTTTGGTGGACCGGCTTCCAGGACAAGGTGGACAAGGTGGACAGTCAATCGGTCGGAATTCCTCCGCTTCTTCATCCACAGTCTCTTCAACAGTGTCTTCTTGCAAACAACTCGCCCGCATCGCACTCTTGGACCCACGACGAGAGCTCTTCGCACCATAACGATAAGCCGTGCCTCTGCCGCTAGACTTCTTCTCGTAGCAATAGTCCGGTAACGGTTGCGGGACGCACGGATCTTGATAACCTTCCGAAGTTCGTTGGATAGCAGCGTTGGCCGAAACCAGAGATCGGTTCTGGTTCACGGAGATCCGTGTGGAGTGATGTTGGCTGGCAACGCTCACAGCCGGGATTTCAGCTGTGACTTCTTCGCATCCGACTCCGTAGGCTAAGGGATCTTGCTCGTAGCCTCGACTAGCTCTGGCATCAATTTCCGCATTCACTTCGATGCCATCTGTTTCCACATCGGTGTCGACAAGCTCTACTTCTTCATCTCCGCCACCATTCCCTCCCACTGAGATCGCGGCTTGCGCCGTCAATGTTCCATCGGGACCGACGCCAGGCACCTGACAGGCACATACACATGCTTCATCAGTTGTGGGTCAGCGATTACGCAGAGGCAAGGTATGATATACATACAAAATTTTAATAACTGCATTTACTCGAGTACCACTCGCACCTTGCTTCCAAAGAACAGGGGTAAAAATGTGGTCATAGTCAGGTACACATTTTTGTTGTAAATTTTTTCAACTTCGAACTTTCTCCCCTTAAATTGTCTTAATGATTGTTGATTTCGAAAAAGAAAAAAACATCACATTGAGGTCAATTTTCGAGTGGACTCAGATTTTTACCCCCAGTACTTTTGAAAATACCGTATGACGTTTGGGAACTGAAACCTAAGTTGCACGTCTCATACGGGGATAGAACTTCACCTAAATTTTAGACAAAAAGCCAAGATGTGCGTTTCACTCGAGGGCGTGGGGTACTCGAGTGAATACGATGACACCTGAATCGATTTAAGAAAATGGCGCTGGTTTCATTTAGATGAGCCACATTTCGGCGACAAATACAGGAAAAAATAACACTTTTCTATCTTCCCTCAAGTCGCATGAAATTGTCAGGTTAGTTGAGCTTCTTTGACTATCCGAAAAGGGCACAGAAATCAGGCAAAAGCGATTCCTTTATTTTTTCGTAAAAGTCGCTGGTGGAGGGACACTGTGTTAATGTCCAAAAGGAAACTCGCGCTCACACGAATACACGCCTAGGCATAAAACGTCTCAAAGAACCAATTTTTCGAATAGTCCGATAAAAGTAAATAATGTTCAAAAGGATTCTACTCACAACTCTCTTGAGAGAAAATTCAATAATCTCGCCATATATGTTTACTTTGATTCATAAAAATTTCACAGAGTGCATTCATTAGGCGAAGGAGGGAACGGATTCAGGGAAATGTATCGAGCATGCTTACCCAATGATGACCAAGATCAACGCCTCCAGTCTCTTCCACATCCTTCAGCAACAAATAGTACGATGACACCACCAACAGGCCGTACGCCAACAAAAGCTCCCGGATATAATTCCAGCTCGTACACAAATCCCCGCAGCAGTCCCAGGGGAAAAGGTAGACAAATTCCGCTCCATAAACCATCAACCACGGCACCATCAAAGTCCTGTCCTCCACCAATGGCGCCAAGAACAAGAGAATCGAGACCAGAATGTGCAGAGGGCTGTTACGGTTCAAGTCCTCGGATCTAGCCGTGAGGACGGCATATAGGAACACGCCGAGGCGCAACGGCAAAAAGAACAGAAAGCGCAACAGGCGTTGGTGACGCATCTGGACTGCGTCGCGGGCAACCCTCGTCGCGAGTACACTTGCAGCTCATCGTATTTCTGCGGCAAAGCTCATCCGTTCAGCGTTTCTGCTTCCAACAATCAGAAAGTTATCATTGCAATAAACTGCTGAAATTTATTCCTGAGCGGTACGTAGAATTTTGAGTAGACATCGGTTAATCAAGAACCTTGACGGGGCGATTGGGAGAAGCGTCAGCAGGAAATGATTCCTTCTCGAACGATGAAACCATCTAAACTTCTTAATTTTTCCATTACTGACATCATCCCGCGGAATTAACTCGACTTCACTTTTCCTTTACTGTTACGCTATTCTTCACAGTGTCGCCTGAAGCTTTTATCGTGAAGTACTTAGTGGTCAATTAAATTGCATCCTGATCCCTAAGACCGTAGTAACGAAATACACTATTTAATGCCATTTAATTTCATAATTGATAAACATATCTCACATTTGTGGCTGTGGAGGAGTAGTATTTACCACTTTTGACATGAAAACGTACTTAAGAGGGTACACTAGAAGTTTTAGAACTCACCATGATCGGGGAAGATCAGATCACGGCAATCCTCCTGGGAAATGATTCATGAATTTTGAGCGGAATGTTCACAACGCATCATAAAAAAATTGATCGACCGATTTGCTTCACTGGAACATATAACTGATCACTCTCACATCAATCTTGAAAAAGGGGGAAATTTCAAGCATTAATGATATACACGGAAGCATCAGATGTAAAAAGCAGCAGCACACATCCATACAAGAAAGATGTTCCACGTTCTTCAGAAGCCTTTCAACGAATCACAAAATTAATCGCACAAGGCCAATAATTTCACCAAAGCTTCGGTTATATACTTGGATGTATCACATGCTTACCGGGTATTCATGCTTGAGTCTTCGTCGAGATTCTGTTACCGAGTTTGATTAAAGCATTGCATGACTGACTCAACGAAAGATGTGTGTTCACTTGGTTCATGACATCTTCAAGCACCATTTTTCCAACTAGAAGGCCAGAACAAGGTAATGCCGCCCACGACAAACAGAACTATTCCAGCTGTGAAAAAGGCAAAAACTCCAAAAATAAAAGACGATCTTGAAGAAGACCAAAATACCTGCTTCAGACCCCAAAATAAAAGAAAGAATCCAACGATTATTGAGTACCAAGTAACTTGAGCGCTGTCTTTTTTCCCGTAGCGCACCCAAACTGCGAAGTGCTCGCAATTGTTCACCACGACATTGTACTCGTCTTGAAGAATTTCTGTAATTTAAAATAAATACCCATAATCACCATCAACATAACTGAACTGTTCGTGAGTGATGCGGAAAACGAAAAATTATCGATGAAAAATTAGCAGGACTGTATATTGCACAACAATAACGAAAAACTACTGTAGGAAGTTGAAGACTCACCGGAACCTTTCTTCCAAAATCTTTCAAAAGCGCGCTGAAGAACCTCGTCCCGTGGAACACCCAAATCCGGATGAACGCTATCGAATCGGTTATTTTTCCGAGCTTCGCTGTCTCCCCAGGCATCTTCCAAATCCTCCAAGATCACGTTTCCGATCCCATTCAATCCTTTGCTCACACTCCGACTCTGGCTCAGCATCCCGACGAAATTGCTATCCGCAGGATTAGCGCGATGCACCACGAAGTGTCGATCACAACCACACCGGTGTCGTGACATTCCTACGACACGCGCGAAACTCCAGACAACACGGCGCATAAAAGATACACTGCCGAGTAGTCCGCCACAGTACGGACAATCGAGGTAGAGCGATGGGACGTCATCTCGCGTGCCGACGAAAACTGCCCAATGCCGGTACGTTCCGCGATCAAATTCTATCAAGTCCCCCGGTTGAAGCAAGGAAGTGAATTCGTCTTTGGACTCTTTCTTGAACCACGAAGAACGATGCCCGTAAACGCGCAGAAGCGGAAGCGTCGAAACAAATATCCCCAATCGCAAGATAATCATAGTCAAGGATAACTGGGAGATCTGGAAGCCAAGAAAGGAAGTGCGATCAGAAAACGAGGCGATATTCCGAAGTCTTGCAAGATACCGTCTCATTTTAAATGCAAGGGTAATTAATTGTTAAAGTTATTTTCGTAACTTTAACGTAACTTTACTTCGTAACTTTTAGGGTGTCATTACCAACAGATGACGCTAAGAATTTAGATACTTTCAGAAATGATTCAAGAAATCTTTAGAACTAACCTGCAGGGAACATCAGGAGAAAAAAAAAAGGGATTTCTCAGTTTTTCAACTATACTGTATACCACAATTTCGAAGCCATTTTTTCCAAATGTTACTACAACAGCTGCACAAGTCCTCAGCAGCCATTGAATGTTACATTGATGTGGACACATTTTCATCTCAGGTTTCCATCATCTAAATTCTAAAGCTATTCATCCAGAAAATCTTAGATAAAAATAATTTGTACACAGTAAAATTACGTTACAAAAATTATCATAATAACGATTTTTTGTTCCAACGATTTTTTAAAAAAGGTCCTTGGAAGTTCGTAGTAACGAAATTTTCTTCCAGTTACATTTCAAGATCCATTCAACAACAGTTGTGAGATGTGAGACTTTGTCCCTGGGATGTCCTATTACAGTATTTTTAACGGTTTGTGTGATTGAACAAACACACGGGAAATCTTTCGAAAATGAGCTCATGCGCCCTTCCCAGCAGGCAATACCTCTGCAAACAATAAAAATTTTTTCAATTTCTTTTACTGATTTTCTGTGCGACATGGGATAAGGTTTTTTGTTCGTTCAGAAACCTTGCATTATAGAAACAGCCGCAAGGTAATAATTTCGAAATTCAGCGTTTTTAAAAATTGATGTAATCGACAAGTCACCGGATTTCATCATCACCTGACAGAATGCCCATATCAATCGCTTTTCACCTCACAAATTTTCTTTTCCGCGAAATTCCCCGTTCCGATCCCGAAAATTTCAATCAGAAAACAACTCAGCAATTCACTCAATACTCCTAACCCAACGAACACAGCCACACAGGCATAGTTTCCCCAGCTGATGTAAAAGCCCAAACCTTTGGTAACACTCACGACCATGTTCCACCAATATTTAAATTCAAATGCTTAGGAGACGATATTAGAAGGCCGGAAATATCATTCGGTAACGAGTATCCTCAAGGAACAATTTCTATTCAGTTAAAATATAATGGTGGGTGTAAATTGTATTTGGCGAGAAAATGCACCGCGATAGATCCATCTAAATATTTACTGAAGATACAGCCGACTTTCCGGGTGCCGTTCGTTCCTCTGCCTCGCGGTTTCACTTCTGCTTTCGTTTTCGCCACTGAAAAACTTGTACAAACCTGCAGCCACAACACCAACAGTGAGGACAGAAGCACCATTAACTAATACCGAGTCAACCTGTTGACTCCTTCTCTCTCCATATCGGCAGTGATTTGCAAAATGCTCGCAGTTGTTGAAGAAAACATTGTAGCATGACGACCCTGGAAGAAGAACTTAGAATGATCGTCCGATAGTGTAAACGTTATCACCACACTTACTGTAGCAGTTCAAGAATCAACGTGGGCGTTAAAATAAATGTTTCATGAGAGTTTCGACATCCAATTTAAATTCGAAAAGAACGAAGAAAGGCCTCAGAACGAAACTATTTTTCGAGAATTTCAGATACAGCTTACTTTTTAGTTCCTCAAACTGGATCGAAGCTTCTACACGAATCTGTTACGCGGTATCGGTGGTATCGAAATATCCCAACAACTCCACTGAGCAGAGTGAGTCAAAACAAGCTTCAATTTTTCTATGACGATAAATTTCTCGATGAAAAAGAGGCATTGCAAGATAGAGCAGCAAATGAAGGCTCATTAAAAAATTTTTCGAAGTGAAAGTCACTTGCAAGCACTAAAATCACGTTAGCACTGCATCGCATCAATTCAAAAAGCATACTGTGCTTTAGCAATTTGAGAAGAAAGTGCCAAATGATTTTAAACTTTCGCACACTGACTTGTCATTTTGTTGCTGTGGGTTCAGATATCGATTTGAACACAACACAGTTTACGGAGAAGTTGTAATACGTTAATTAGTTTCAATTTTGAATGAAAATTATATGATTTTCCTCAGTTTCTAGGGATACATTTTGCCTTTCGAATTCACCACTAAATAAATAAAAAATCATAATTTTATTTTCATCTCCGAGACGAATTTGCTAAGCTGAAGTGTGCCGTTTACGTGAATACGGTAATTCACGCAGCTGGTGACACTTAAGATTCAATATATTAATATCCTATGTCAATCATTCCATTCAATGTCCTCACCTTCATGATTTCCATAACCCTGTGATCTCAGTTCCGCAAACGCTTCCCCCACGATGTCGTCCGGATTTCTCGAAGCTTTGCTTTGGTCTAGTGAGTTGTTCTTTCTCGCTTTATCGCGGTCCATAACATCTTCCAACGGCTCGATGCATACGTTTCCAATTCCATGCGAAGCTTTATTCATACTGGTTGAGCGACTAGCAAAATTCAAAACATCGCTGTCGTGGGGATTAGCTCGATGAACAACGTATGCAACTTTTTCATCCAGGGATTCGTTGATAGGGTGTTGACGGAAGTCGCGCGGGAAGCCCACGTACACTGCCCAATGCGAATACCTTTGTCGATCGAATTCCACCAAGTCACCAGGAGAAAGTTCGCACACAAATTCGTCGCACTCAAAGAAATTATACCATTCGGAAGTCATGACCGCAAATTCTGAAACATACGGATCAACATGCATCAGGCGAAAAATGTCTGATCTAAACGAAATGTCTAACATGCACGTTCAAAAAATACTTCTCACTTTTTCGAGTCGTTTGCGAGAGAAAAATGAGAAAATGCGAACTCAATAACAGGAATCTTCAGCATCGGACTTTATTTTTTTAATTCCACCAAGCTTTGGCATCCAAGCATTTGCTTTTCTGTCTCAGCCACTCCTTTGCCTTTAGGTACAAGGGTATCAACACACCGTATATACTCTTAAAAACAATATTTAAATATATTTACAATTACTTATTTACGGTATTTCAATATTCGAATTTGCTGCAGGCGTTTAATGGAGACCGGCCATTATTTAAAAGTTACATATGATACATCGCCAGAAAGGAGATTCATTAGCTGGCAGGGAAGATTTATGAAAAAAATTGAAACATGATCAACTTTCAGATTAGATCATCTGCATACGAATTAAATGATATTTCTGGCACTTGTGCTTGTGGAACAAGGGAGGCACTGGACAGTGAATGTGATATTTCTTGAACATATTTTTGAGATTTCCATCTTTTGGAGATTCATTGCAAATACACTTGTTAATTATTTTCTTCCTTGTATTATGAAAGGGGAAAAGGGTCTTCCAGAAGATACTTCACAGGGGCTTTTGTGGGTTGCAACAATTCTTCCAACTAGTTTGTACCAATGTAAAAATTAGTCTTTATAGTTTCTTCTTCTTCTTGCAAGTGTAGATAAATTGAATTCTTTCAGTGATCAAAACTCAATTCCATTACTGTACCTGCATTGAGAACACACGCACAATAAGTAAATAAATGAAGTCAAATAAAGTTACTTGGGAAGGTTTCTTTACACCCTTTTTTAATTTTCAGGCTCTCCCTTCCTACCTGCGCCTTACCTCCCTCCCACAGAGGCCCAGAGAGGCCTGTAGGAGGGTTGCATTTCCCATTTTTCAAACTTTAAATTTTTTAACAAATTCAATTCCTATTCCAACTTCAAACTTGAAACATGGTTAGATATGAGTCAAAGTTCTCCACACTTTCTTCTTTTTTAATTGAAAAAATATCAAGAATTGATGGAAATATCATGAAAAATGCAAAAAATTTTCAAAAATCAAGCAAAAATCAGGAAAAAATCTTTTTACATTTTAATTTTCAAATGATTCATTTTCCATTATTTGTCCCAATTTAAAAATTCCTAAATTCATAAAACTTTGATGCGCATCTAGCACTGCAAGAAATTTCGAAATTGAGCCAATTTTAAACAAGCTATAGTGAGCTAAAGTTAAATGTTACAATTTTTGTCATTTTCCAAATTTCTGTGTCCTGTTTCTCAAAGTTTAAAAATTTGCTAAAAACTCAATATTCAAACAAACTAACTTTTGAAAATCTTATTAGAAGCACCATGATGTTTGCCACATTTTCTCTTTTTAATTTTGAAGAAGTTTGAAAATTGATGGATTGACAATGAAAAACACAAAAACAAATTTCAAAATTGGGAAACATCTTTTCACATTTTCATTTTTAACTGATTCAACTTCCAACATTCTCCCCCATTTATTGTAAAACTTTTTATTGTGAAACTTAAATGCACATCTAGCCCTGCAATACATTTTTAAATTGATCCAATTTCAAAGAAATTATAGTGAGCTGAAGTTGAATGTTTCAATTTTTGCATCCCAATTTTGAAAGTTTAAAATTTTTTTAAATGTTTCTATTGCACCAAACTTCAAATTTGAAACATGTTTAAATGCATGGTGAAGTTGTCCAAATTTTAATTTTTTAAACTTCAAAAAAGTTCAGAATTGAGTAATTGACAGAGATATGATGAAAAACACAAAATATTAATATTTTCAAACATTGAGCCAAAATGTTTTAATTCACATGAGGGGGGGAGGGGTGGAAGGGAATGGAGCACCACAAATATTTAAAAAATGTTACAAACCTAGGGAAGTGGTAAGCAAATTCAATAAATTAGGCAAGTGTGGTGTCCAACCATACCTTGGCAATGTGCATAAATACTGATGGTCCTTGACATGTAATCATTCAATATAGGCATTAATCATTCAATATTTTAAAACTCTTCACATAATTTGCATTAGGATTAAGTTGGGATTGTAAGAAGTAATAAAATCCCCCTGCTCATTTGCCAGTTGTGGCTTAACAGGCCACAACAGGCACATTGAGCACAAGTACAAGATTACTGGTGGTCCTTCACCAGTTCACCAACTTTAATCATGATTTTTTTTTTCAAGTTCTCTGCATAATTTGTTTCATGATAGACAGTTGCACCTGGGCAACCCTATTCCACATGTCAATTGCTGAAGTACATCAAAATTTTGCCAAGTAAAATTTGCCCATTGCCCAGGCGTGGCGGTTCTGGGAAACAGTTATTCCCAGCTTGAGACATTTGTACTCCCATAAGCTGGGAAAGTTTTTCCCAGCTTGTCTGGGAAAAAGTTGGATATCAGCTCCATTGCACCTAATAAAGGCAAAAAAGCCAATGAGCCAGCAAAAAAATATTTTGAGCCAGCAACAAAATATTTAGGACAACGTACAGTGGCGATTCCGGTATACATTGTAATAGCCTGTGAAGAATGCCTGGTCTACTTGTAGGCTCATCTTCTTTCCGTATCTGCAGTAAACTGCAAAATGTTCGCAGTTGTTGAAGAAAATATTGTAGCTTGAAGACCCTGGAAGACGAAATTACATAGATCATTCAAGCGTGTGGTTCATCAAAAGCATACTGTAGCAGTTTACAAATCACGATAAACCATTTGGAAACCAAAGCTCTTAATAAATACTGTCCGGCAAAAAAGTTCTACGGATTTGTTCATTTATTTTCGCGCCTCGAACTACTGTATTTGAAATGTGTACGCTTAAAATGTCGGCAAATCAAGAAAAGAACGCTCAGATTTGTCTGGGCTTTTCCCCAAACCAACTTGGCACGCACGTTAGGTAGATGCATCAAGTGGGTATAGCATAAGTAATTTTTCCATTCAGAAGAGTGAGTCAAAACTTGTTTCATATCTTCCAAGCCAATACATATTTTATAAGAAAATCAAGAGGCATATCACGAAAGGGCGACAAATAAAGGCTCAGTAGTTTTTTTTTTAAGTGAGTCGCAAGCACTTAAATTACTTCACCGCATCAATTCAAAAGAATATTGGGTTGTTGTATCCAAAAAAAATTGCTCAATGATTTTCAACGTTCGCACTCCAACTTGTCAATATGTCACGGTTCAGATCTGGCTTTGAACATAGATTATATTGTATATTCAAGATTCCACCAGCTAATGAATTTCCCTTCAAAAGAAGAATTGCTGCAAATTTAAATTCTGCTTGGCAATCCAAAAACCTAAATTTATCAATAGAATCAAATTAAAATCCTCATTTTATTTTCATTTCCGAGACAAATCAGTGCGATAATGCATTTGACTAGCGTAAATGCGGAATTTCGTGCAGATGGTAACAGTTTTCAAATATAATTCGAACATGTTCAACAGTCACTTACCTCTTTTGATGTCCTCACCAGAATCGTTCGACCGCAATTCCGCAAATGCTACCCCCACAATGACGCCGGGTTCTCTTGGACGAAATTCTTGGTCCATTGAGTTGTTGCGTGTCGCTTTGTCGCCGTTCATAACATCTTTCAACGGATCGATGCATACGTTTCAGATTCCGTGGGCAGCCTTTTTCATACTTGTTGAGCGACTAGCAAGATTAAAAACATCGCTGTCGTGGGGATTAGCTCGATGAAGAACGCATGCAACTTCTTCATCCAGGGATTCGTTGATAGGGTGTTGACGGAAGTCGCGCGGGAAGCCCACGTACACTGCCCAATGCGAATACCTTTGTCGATCGAATTCCACCAAGTCACCAGGAGAAAGTTCGCGCACTAATGCGTCGCATTTAGTTCTCCATGTAGGAAAATATATAATCGGCATGATTGCAAATTCTGGAACAAACGGATCATCATGCATCAGGTGTATGTCATCGATGTCGATGTCAAAATGTCTCATCGAACACTTCAACAGATTGAACATGCACGTTCAACAAAAACTTTTCAATTTTTCGAGTCGTTCGCGAGAGACAAATGGGAAGACGCAAACTAGAAACCTTAGGAATCTTTAGCATCGGATTTCGTTTTTTCAATCCTGCCTCGCTCTTTGGTATCCGAGCTTAGCAGAAAATTCTTTGAATTCCGTCAAAGCAGTTCCCAGTTCCAAATTTGGAACATTCAACAAAATGCTCAAAAGAGCTTGAGTGGCGCAGGCATTTTGTATGACCTGAAATGCATTTCGATTATTAAAGGACAGCATCAACTTGAATTTAAAGGACAAAGTACCTGCTTAGCGAAATATATGCTTTCCAAACGAGAATCACTCACAACAGATCCACTGGTTTTGCTTCCTGGATTCCATTTATATAAGAAAACTAAGCCATGAATGGGCCTAAACAAAAATACAATTTTGAAAGCTCATCAAGAATTAACTAACTTCAAGATAGGTATACAGTACTTGATTTGATCGAAATCTTCTTTTTCCAAACTCCAAAGCTCTTCCACCTGTAATCCTTGTACTCCTGAAATAACAAAATTCATGAAAATCTTCTTGAACTCCTCACCTTTATAAGCTGATCCCACAGTTGTTCCTCACCGTAATTTTTGATGAGCTCCGAAAAAACACCTGGATCGCTTTCGATCAAGCACCAATTTCCTGGTCCCATGTCACTCATTTTTATACGCGTGAAAGCTTTTCTGATCGAGGAAAGAGAAAGAGATAGCGAGTCAAGAGGATGCACGTGATTCCAATTGAAGAGATTAAAAAATTCTTGGAACGTTGTTCTAACGGTGAGGTAGAGCATTGTAGATCAGAAGCCGAAATGCACCAAGAAACGAGTGATAAGCTTCAACGGCATCTAGCCGCCGGGTGATCCTCTCGACAGGAGTCAAACTCATTTCTTCATAGAGGAGAGTTGGAAGTTCATCCCAAGATTCAATTCGGATAACAGGTAGGCGGCCATGCCAATCCACATCGTTGTCTGGCTTGCACTTCCCAGCACTAGATTCGCTCACAATCACTGGTATACTCCCACAGCTCAGCGCTTCGTACACCCGGTAAGTTTCTGGATTGAAGCCACCCGGTGACAAGGTTAAATCGGAATTCGCCAAAGCGATTAAATATCGCTGCATAGAAATTTCGGATTCGTCTTCTGTCCACAAATTTCGGAATTTGACGAGGCCAAATGACGCAAGCTGCCGTGGTAAGCTTGTCAAGACATCTTGTAATTTGGGACGCATACCCCTGGCATCCATTGTCCCAACAAAATTGAACATATATTTCCGAGGAGAGTACAAATCTTCACGAGCGATACATGTCCGTGGGAATCCTCGATAACTATTACAGCAAACGAAAAAGTTACTAAACAAATTTGCCATACGTCAGATTGTTTACTTACGTTGCCGTGCCAAGGGGCCAACGGAAAACATGTTCGTCGTCGATTTCGAGACTATCGTAAATGACAAAAATATCATCCAACATCCCTCCATTTATCCGGAGTCGTCTTGTTAACCACTCATTGTCGCAATCCTCGGAACCCAGTAGAATAACAGCAATGTACTCAAGTTTCAATTCTGATATCCGACTAATCCATCGTAGGGCATCTTCGGCTTTGGGACGAGTGCGACCATTCAAAATCAAGATGACACAGCTTTGTTCCACAGAGACCATTCCATTACTAATAGCAGGTCCAGTCTTGAAAACAAGCTTCCAAGGCGGCATCATCATTTCTCCGCGAAGCCATGTATCATCAACGCGTGTGAGATTTCCGTCGAATATTGATTCCCACACAAATGTTGATAAAGCTGAAATTCCTAGAATTTCCACGGTGTGCCGACATTCCTGCGTCCCAGTGCCTTCATCGCCGAAACTGAGCCAGTATGCTATCATCGCTGAAGCCCCGATCACTGACACAGAAACAAATTTAATCGCCGCATGCATAACTAGAATGGAAACGTGGTTATGAAAGGCTCCCCATATCACACATGTTATCCCGTGAGCTTCGTTATTTACTAAATACACTTGCCTTGAGGGCATCCATGACAGTTGTGAATTAAGATCATTCCAAACATTTCAATCGTGTCTGTGTATGTTCCACATTTTATTTGTATGACAAGAGTTTGCGAAACAGAATAAATGTACCATCCAGCTCTAGATATTTAATGAGACTTGTAGAAAATTATTCATTCGTCTTAGATAAAGGTTCAGACATGGAATTCAGGAAAACTCAGATTATCCTGGGAAATGATACGAACATGCCTGTTCTATATAAATTTATAGCAGTCCGGAACAGCTACGATCTTATACTTTCAGTACTTGGATTAACGCAAATAGCTAGTGTTGGAAATTTGAATTTTTTTAAAAATTCAATTTGCAGGAATGACTCACCGCTATAAGTCCCGAAAAAATCAGAAGTTCATATGAGCCTTTTCAGATGCCTCGCCATTTGATATTCTGACTCTCTTCAGCATTTGTTTTGTCCTCAAGCATCAGTCATCCAATTTACTTCCACTTTCTTCGACGACATCATCTAAAAAAAGACATACTGTTTGTTCATAGTTCATGATGCATCGTTTATGGCTAAAAATTGGTAAGAAAAAAAATTTCCTCACTGCATATGGAATAATTCAAAATCATTTTGCTACAGATTCGGCTTCTACGGTAACATAATTGAAAAAATTTCGACTTGTCTGAAACATGATGATTTCATTCGAGCTATGAATCAATTCATTCTTGTATTGTATTTTTAAATGGACTGTACCATCAATTAAGGAAGCGTTATCTGCTGGATATAACTTTATCATTATTTATTTTTCATACAGTTGGAAAAATTAAACTTAGATTACATGTTTGACCCATCCAAGTCGAATTTGGAGGGACCAAAGAATGTTTTACTACAGTGGTTTCAAAATTAGGGAAGTTAGGGAAACTATAGGGCTGAAGATGCAAATTGGGGACAGACAAAATTGAGTTAGAGAGATTTTTTATTGAAGGAGGTTCAGGCAGTTATTGAACTTCAACATGTATTAAGAGAATACTACAGTTGCACCTCTTCAAGTCAAATTCCAAGGGACCAGCAAAAATTCAGCTCAGGGAGTTTTCAAGTTATAGGGGAACTAGCATTTTTGTGGGGGAAATGAAGAATTAGAAGGTAAAAATGGTGACTGCGTGTTATTTTTGACTGCTTGGTGAATGAGTTGAATATTGATGATTAACTTGGAGAAAGCAAATTTTCATTTGCCCAACAAAATCAATCATTTACTTTTAGAAAGCATCAAGTTATATTTGTTATTGTTTTTCTCTTGCCTGACTCCTCAAACTGCCAGAAAATATTAATTACGGAGGTCTGATGGGGCGAATCAGGAATGTTATGCTATTATTTTGTGAGAGTTGAAAAATTTCGAGGCAACGGTCAATATTTTAATTTTTGATAAATCTCTATATCAAAAACGTCTTTGTATTCACTATTAGCAGCAAAACGTCACAGAACAAGTTATGGCACCTAAGCATGTGTCTATACTACAGTTGCTGAGTTCAACAGTTACATTTGCAGACAATTAATTGTGTGGAAACAAGAGGTGAATATAAATACATTTTATGCATTCATTTTTTGTTCAATAAATATCAGTATTTAATTATAAAATTTATTACTAAAAAGCCGTTCATGTAAAATTTATATTTACTGCTTTGTTTCCTTACAATACATTTCTATCAAATTTAACCAAAAGCACAGTCAATTGGAGTCTGGTTCATAGGAGTTATATTCTCTATTGAAACCTTGAAAAATCCGGTTTACCAATCCATTATAAGTACACTATATCATCCATCAAGTATAGTAATGACCTGGAATCTAATGACGGAATAGGATCAT